GGGGAGATTTTGAAGTCTGTGAAGGTTAGTGTCGAGGTATCTTTGTATACACGTTCAGAAATGTTTTCTTCTGTTTGAAATGGATCCAGGGTTTGTGACAACTCTTATAGAAATCCATTTATTTGTGTTTTTCTTAATCCAAGCAACATTAGATCTTGTTTCTTATTGTAAGCGCAAATAGTTTTAGAAATAGATAAGATCCTATATTACACTAATTTGACTCTTGTGAGCTTTAAGTCATGTTATAAAGTTGTTACCTCATCAAAAACAAACCTGGAGTTGCATTTTGTTTCATTCACATTTGCGTATTCCTTTATTATTAGTCTGTCTGCATCAGCTGGTTTCACTTTGTAGAAACTGTCAGACCTCGCAGTGTTAGATTTCGTTCACTTGACGGTAGGTGGGTAATTTTTATCATTTAACCCAGGGTGTCCAAACTTTTTTCATCAAGGGCCACATCTGTAAACACAGACAGAGCAGAGGGCTGATCGAGGGCCGTAGACTGGTGCTTAATACAGTGAATAATTGAAATATGTGCATGTTTAACATGTTCAAATGAGCCATCAGTCTTTATTCATGCTAAGGTCCTTAAAACCACACACTAAATATAAAATTTTAGCTTTATCAAAGTAGATTTTCAAAAAACTTGCAATAATAAGTTCATTTTTAATTGATGCAAGGTCATTTGGGCCAGTTCACCTGGAAAAATGTGTCTGAGGGCCGCATTTGTCCCACAGACCATAGTTAGGACATGCCTGATTTAACCAATCGCTGCTATTTTGTAGTGTTGTATGTAATGCGCCGCTAACGGGGCTAACTGGTATATTAATCTTTTCCCAAATCCCGTAGGAAGAAGGACAATAACGTCTTTCCCCTTGATAAAATTCACCAAACATTCTCTTTGTTCTGGCTTTAAATCCTCGATCTCGGGAATCGTTGCCAACACAGGATATATGGCTCTTCGCTGATTGGCTGGTGCTCAAACTTGCACTTCCAGGGTTTTTGTGAACCGTCTAGTGTATTCCGATTCCTGACCTAGTCACTGGAGAGAAATAAAATTGAGCGGAGGCACTAGGTGGCACCAGCCTGACTATGAAAATACATCTTACTACACTAGAGATAAGAAAAACAACAACTCTCTGCACTTAAAATAAGAAACTAAATCTAATGTTGCTTGAATAAAGAAAAACACACTTATTCTTTTGGCAGATAATTTCACTTGTCAAGTTGAATCTACTCAAATATAGTCAAATGTTCTTAATTTAAGTCATTTTAACTTGCCTAGATATAGTTTTTTCAGTGTTCAAAGTCAGTGTTTCAGTAGTGTTTGCAGGTCATTTCTTCTTTACTGTAAAAGAAACACATCATATACACAATATCTGTACATATTATAATAAAATTAAACATTCACTTTACATCTACAACATTTAGATGAGCCTGGAAGATCAAAATAATAAACGTTCTTATCAGATAATGACAATATGTTAAGAATCTTTTTTCACAGAACTTTCTTCACATAGGCCTGCAGATTTACTTACTTTTTTTTTTTTTTTTTTTCTATTAGGCTGGTCTAAAAAAATCTAAAACACAACTCACCAGGGAAGCATCTCTGGCTGTTCAAATGTTTTAAAAGAGAAGTCTCAGCAGGAAACCTTATCTCTCCTATTGACACTTAAGTCCCCTTCAGATTGATCCTGTCCCGCATTACTGCAAACACAGCTGTTTTACTGCACCTCCTGTCGCCATGGGAACATCCCCTTGCTTGTAGGATTAGATTTTTTCACTTAGAATGTTGTAGATGTTTTGTTTTTTTTTTTTTCCTGGATTCTTTAATATAAAAAAAAGAATTATTTGCCTGGGTGATTCTTTATTTATTTATTTATTTATTTTTACATATGAAGTTACTCAAAACTAGGAGTTAACTGGGACTAAACCTGGACTAGAGCAGGACTAGAACTGGACCAAATCACAGAAATAATTTTAAAATTGTGAAATGATCTAAACTAGACAAAGAACATGATTTTAAAATATTCAAAACAATTCAAAACATGTTAAATATTGTGACTGAGGCAAGTTTTACCTACAGATTTTTTTTTTTACAGTGCACCTCTCGTGACCCATCGCTCTGTGTGTTCCTCTGTGTTATTTGAGCCTCCCTGCTTCACTCACAGATTAAACATTTGCCCCTCTGTCTCTCTTCAGGGAGCAGCCAGGACCCCCAGCGGAGAACCGTCCCCCACAGGAGTCTACCTCTCCCCTGGACTCTCCCCCGGACTCTCCCCCGGACTCTCCCCAGGACTCTCCCCCGGACTCTCCCCTGGACAGAAACCAGAAGCTGTGGTCCATGCCATGAAGGTACTGCCCACAAAACAGTTTCATGTGGGGGACTGTTTATGAATGAAGTTTGAATGGAGAAAAACACGTAGACCTGGACAATATACAATCACTCAGACTCCACACACTGTATATTGTCCAGTTCTATGTGTTTTCCTTTTGGTTTTTGTCATGTCATGTCTGTGTCTTATGTGAATGCTGCTGACTCTTATTTGGCCTCCTCCTGCTTGTCTCCATGGAAACATTGCTCCTACGGCTATAATCTTCTTGAGAATGTTCCAAAGTATGGTTTTAATTTCAGTGGAATCATGCAGGGCACGTGCCATCTTCTTAAAGTTACAGTGTTTCTGATTTTAGTAGTTCAAACTGAGCCTTATTGTTCCAGTCTAATTTGGGGACTTTGTCTTTTTAAAGATTCTAAATTATGTAAAATTTACTTTTGTGCAAAGGTGGAGAAAGTACAGAAAGTTTTAATTAAGTAAAAGTATCTTTACTTTGCTTAATTCCTACACAAGTAAAAGTAACCATCTAAAAATCTACTTGAGTAAAAATAAAAAAGCACTTAATTTACTTAGTTACTTTCAATTATTTGTTGTAAAAAGGATGAGTCATAAATCTATTCCTGCACAATATGTTTTAATCAGTTTTTAGGTCATACAGCTGAGAACTTTGTTCAGTGCAAACTTTGTATATTTTAAAGACAACTGAGCGCACTAACACTTACTATTTTAACACTTGCATTATTATTATTGCGTTATTCCCTATTTTGCATTTGTTGTTTGTACCCAAATAGCTGATTTTGCTCTGTAACGAGGGCGGGTTCCAATGCAATGAAGTAAAATATTTCAGTCAAAATGTACTCGAGTAAAAGTAAAAATACCTATTTCAAAAACTACTTAAAAAATTACAAATTACTCATAAAAACTACTCAATTACAGTAACGTGAGTAAATATAATTTGTTACTTCCCACCCTTGCTCTTGTGAGGTTTTCGCCATGTTAAATTGTAGTTATGTCATCACAGACCTCGAGTTGTGTTTTGTTTCATTCACACATGTTTGAGTATTCCTGGTTTATTCTGTTTATGTCTTTAAAGTTCAAGTTAACAAACAGCTAGATTGCCAAGTCCAGTTTTGAAAATATCCAAATGATTCTAGTAAAGATGTATGGAGTTTAAAAACTCAGTGGAGCACTTCCTGTATTACCACAGAAGATCACAAGGTTGTGACACAAGAGAGTGTTGTCTGTTGGAGAGAAGAGCTCAGCCTAAACCTGCAGAATGTGTTTGTTAAATGTGTTAATGAAACAAAAGACAACTCCAGGTACTTTTTCCTTCATGGAGAGATACTTATAAGGTGACATCTCCTGGAGTAAATAATGGACTTTCTCTTGAACTTGTTTTAAACTAAATACTATCTTGATAAATGTCCATACTGTAGATTGTGTGGTAATTGAACATACTGTGTTATTGTTTCGCAGGTGCTGGAGGTGCATGAAAAACTGGACAGAACAAACACACAGGAATATGAAGAGGACCTGAGCGAGAAAGAGAAGGCCATCGTCAGAGAGATGTGCAATGTACGTTTAGACCGTAGAGTGTAGGGGTGTGCAAATATATCTAAATATCGCTATATTATATCATTTAATGTGATGATACAGTATTGATATCGTGCTCTGCTGTATCGATATATCACCAAGAGTATTTTTTTGGTATATTTTACGAAATGATTTAGTCACAGCGCTACAGTTTTGTTGTTTGTTCAGAGGAAGGAAACTGTTTTGTGTGACACATTTGACATTTTCACAGTTTTGATGATTAAAATTGATGTTTTTCATATTAACTTTGCTGAAAAAATGGTTTAACAAAGACTTTTAATATCACAGACATGATTTAGCCTTTACTTTTTATTGAACTGTATTGAATCGGTTTAAAATATATCGTACTGAATCAAAAGTTTAGGCCATCGAGTGTAGGGGTGTGCAAAAATATTAAAATATCGCTGTATTGTATCGTTTAATGTGATGATACAGTATCGATATCGCGGTTTACTGCATCGATATATCGCCAAGAGTATTTTTTTTAAACATATATATTTTACTAAGTTATTTTGTTACAGTGCTACAGTTTTGTTGCTTGTTCAGAGGAAGGAAACTTGTTTATGCAACACATTTGACATTTTCACAGTTTTGATGAGTAAAATGTTTGTGTTTTATATGAACTTTGCACAAGAAGTGGTTTAACAAAGACTTTTAGTATCACAGACATGATTTAGCCTTTATTTTGTCTCGAATTGAAAGTTTAGACTGTAGAGTGTTGAATCTTATTGAATCAATTTAAAATATATTGTACTGAATCAAAAGTTTAGACCGTAGATTGTAGGGGTGTGCAAAAATATCAAAATACCGCTATTTCGTATCATTTAATGTGATGATACAGTATCGATATCGCGCTCTGCTGTTTTGTTATATCGCCAAGAGTATTTTTTTGGTATATTTTACAAAATGATTTTGTTACAGTGTTACAGTTTTGTTGTTTGTTCAGAGGAAGGAAACTTGTTAATGCTACACATTTGACAGTTTTGATTATTAAAATGTTTGTGTTTCATATGAACTTTGCAAAAAAAGTGGTTTAACAAAGACTTTTAATATATGATAAATATGATTTAGCCTTTATTTTTTATTGAACCATATTGAATCAATTTAAAATATATCGTATCCAATCAAAAGCTCACTGTATCAAGAGATGTATCGTATCGTGGCCTATGTATCGAGATTTGTATTGTATCGGCAACTTCTTAATGATACCCAGAACTAGTAGACTGTATGTATAAATGCACATATCTAACCTGCTAGGCACCTCCTTCTGAATAGAAAGTGAACATGGGGGTCGCTTCTGGCTTCGTCGACTCTGGCTCCACTTGACTTTACACTGAAAAACTGTCACCCCTCTCTCTGTAACTGCTGCTGTCAGGCTCCTCATTTTGGCCTTAAAATGTTCATAATAACCCGCTCTACATAATCCTGCTGTTTCTATTTTGCGATTTTGTCCGTAAATAAAGTCCTATTCTTAATCTGGACCTGTCTCCATAATCGCCCCATAACTGCTATGATTGACGTCACATTCTCTTTCTTTATACCAGTCCGTGGTACTAATTTGATTTAATGATAGCGGCACGATTCTATATCTCCGTTTTACTGAATAGCTACTAGTTGTGTTGCCATCCGTTAGTTGGTTCAGTTTTGTTATAAAAATGTGGTTTTGTGAGATCTGGAAACAATTTACTTTTGGTGGTTTTCAAAAAGCACAACAAGCAGAAGTAATGGTTTATATAAGTGTGTATTCTGTGCCCTGATTACTCTGTTCTAGTTCTGGCCCCGAGCGTTCAACCTGAAACTGATCACGAACAATAGTCGCCATTCATACGTTCATACACACACTGCCACCTATTCTCTCACCCAACACAAACACATATTATTGTCTTAAATCACAATGAAAAAATATTATGTAGGTTTGGCTTTGTTAAAGAGACAGTACGTAAGAGTTTCATTTTAAATTTGACGTAACTGTGTCCCTGGATATGAGGTGGTCATGTTCAGACTTTACTGATAATGACTGTAACGCTGATTTATTTTTAATTACAAAAACATTGGACATGATGGACAAGTAGTTCATGTTATAATTTGATTCTTTGGTTGATTATTTGGTTCTCAAGACAATTATCCAATCAGAAAGCATGAATCAGTGCTAATGCAGCCTGTGCAGCTGAGTGAGTGAAGTCTGGAGGTTCTGAGCTTTCACATAAGGCCTATCCATATAGAGTGGATGGAAAAAACTTGTATGTGTATATTATACAGTGTTGGGGAGTAACGGATTACATGTATCGGAGTTACATAATCAGAGTACAAATTATGAGTAACTATATTCAGTTACAGTTACTGTTTTAATGAGAGGTAATTGGATTACAGTTACTTTGTTGAAATAAATGGATTACACAGTGGTATTTTCCTGTTTTCACATTTCGGGCGATATCCCTTTTTTTTTTTTTTTTTTTCTCCCCCCAGTAATTCCACTCATTGCCGGACACTAAACCAGGTCCAAACCAGGTCCAAACCAGGTCTAAACCAGGACTAAACCAGGACTAAACCAGGGACTAAAACCAGGTCTAAACCAGGTCTAAACCAGGACTAAACCAGGTCTAAACCTAAACCACTAAACCAGGACTAAAACCAGGGTCTAAACCAGGGTCAAAACTAAACCAGGTCTAAACCAGGACTAAACCAGGACTAAACCAGGTCTAAACCAGGTCCAAACCAGGTCTAAACCAGGTCTAAAAAAACTAAACCAGGACTAAACCAGGAATAAACCAGGTCTAAACCAGGTCTAAACCAGGTCTAAACCAGGACTAAAACCAGGTCTAAACTGGGTCTAAACCAGTTCTAAACTAGGTCTAAACCAGGACTAAACCAGGACTAAACCAGGTCTAAACCAGGTCTAAACCAGGACTAAAACCAGGATTAAAACAGGACTAAACCAAGAATAAACCAGGACTTAACAGGACTAAATCATGCTGCATGGACCGTGTTTCCTCTTCTTCTATCAATAATATTTTTAATTTGGTTAAGTAAAGACTTGGCTTTTTTATTGTCTTTTATCAGACAAAACTTCTTATGTGAAGATTTCCTCGTCTTTGCTTCTCTACAGCAAATCAAGTAATCCAAAGTATTCAGATTACATTACTAATTTAATGGATTCCGTTACAAACTACATTTTGGGGTATGTAATCTGTAATCTGTAGGGGAATACATTTTAAAAGTCACCTTCCTAACACTGATATTATACATGCAGGTGAAGGCACTAATTCACCCAGGCTCAGTAGGCTCTATATTACTGCTTATATCACAAACCAGGAAGACGTTTGGAAACATGCGATGACAACTTCCGGCGGGCTCTGTTTGCAGTAGTAAGTCTGACAAAATCTAGGAAAAATGAGAAAATGGCCCAGTTTTCTTTATCTAAATGTCATTGTAGCGTTCTGTTATGTTCGGCTAATCATCAATTACAACCATACCTCAGTTTTCATCATTTCCGCACTGACGCACAGCTCCGAGCGCACTGGGTACATGCGATTAGATGATTCCAAACAGCACATACGTATACAGTCTTCATTTTACCGCTGATCACATTTACTTCAATGGGCTTGATCACAGTCGGTTGGCGAGCCTACTGTCAGTAACTACACCGAAAGTTGTCATTGCATGTTTCCAAACGTCTTCCTGGTTTGTGATGTAAGCCTAAATAGAGCCAGTTGTAGATTTGTTGTAGCCACGCTGACGCCACCTAGTGTGTTGGCAACAATTCCCGAGATCGAGGATTTAAAGTCGGAACAAAGAGAATGTTTGGTGAATTTTATCAAGGGGAAAGACGTTATTGTTCTTCTTCCTACGGGATTTGGCGGATTACATACATCACGACCAAATAGCAGCGAATTGCCGTGAAGCGAACGAATTCTAATGCTGCGAGGTCAGACAGTTTCCACGAAGTGAAACTGGCAATGAATCAGGCTATGTTTGTTGTAGTATGGTGAAGAGGGCAGGCTACTTTCTGTACTTTTAAAAACTCCTAAATATCGCAAATGTACCTCTTGTGAGCTTTAAGCCATGATAGGATGTTGCTACCTCATCTCAAACGTACCTGTGGTTGTGTTATGTTTCTTTCACACATTTTTGAGTAACTCTGCTTATTAGTCTGTCTTTCCTGTATTACCACATGACATCACAAGGTGGAACAGAGTGTTTTCTGCTTGAGAGAAGAACTCCGTATTTGTTAAACATGTGTGAAAGAAACAAAACACTTTGTTTTTGACGAGAAAACATTTTAACACAGATCAGAAAACAGCTTTAAAATAAAATCATTCTTTCTTGACATTCATTGACTTTCTTGTTTTTTATTTTATTTTCCGCAGGTCGTGTGGCGAAAACTTGGAGACGCCGCAGGTTCGAAGCCCTCAGTGAGACAGCAGCTTTCAGGAAACCAGTACAAAGCTCCTTTATAGTGCTCCAGGACCCAATGGACCAGTGACCTACCTGCACTGCAAGAACACAATATCTACTTACGACTTGAAATCAGAATACGCATTTTATTTTGAATAGTTTTGACTCGTTTAGATTTATTTAGTTTGTAATAATTATTGATACAAATTTTATCAGATATTTTAATTTGTTTCAAAGTGTACTGTGTTTCTTTTTGGTTGAGGGTTTGTCACCTGCTTGTTTCTATGGATATATCATTGCTCTATCTACATTTATTCAATTTGTGGTTTTATAGCTCAAAAATACAGGCATTCTCACTGTAAGCAGGGTCGCCTCTCCACAGATCTGACCTGTAACTTGGTCTGGTTTGGTCTCCATGAAGATAGAAAGGCATACTGTGAATATTCTGTGAAAAATTCCAGACAAAGCAGTCAAATTTGACGAACCCTCCACATGAAAAGTTACACAGTGCACCTCAAAAGGCCCTGTACCTGATTTTTTAAACATGTATTTGAGCAATAATAAGTGAGGAATAACTTTGGATCATCGCAAATGGTTTAAACTCAACCAGTTTTGTTTTTAAGACAATAAAAGTCAGATACAGTGCCTTTAATTTTAGACAAATGTACATCTAAACAAGTCAAAACCACTCAAAACCAGATAAATATTCTGAAATCAAGTACTTTTAACTAGATATTTTTGCAGTGTATCCTCCCCTCTGAACTTTTGGACATTTTTGGGGTCTCAAATTAGTTGCCGTGGATACCGAACCGCTTTTCCTAACCTGATTTATGTTTAAAAACTGCAAAAAGAGACTGAAAAAGCGACCGCGCCTGCAGCATACCTCTGGATTCTTACTGAAACTACGCAAGTGAAGACGCGTGGACAGCCGACGAATGAGTGATAATTTCATTTTTGGACAGTTTTTTTGTTTTTTAAAGCAGTAAAAAAGGCACTTCAACGTTTTTCTTCAACATCTGCAAAATGAACAAAATGATAAAATAGACTTGCACTTTTCAGGAATATTGAGAATTTGAGTGTAATATGTGACTGTTCTGCTTTCAATGAAGGAGATGTCAAAAACAAGAAGAAGATGTCCATGGACTGGAAATGTCTCCAACTATTTTCACTATTCTAGTTTACTGTGGAAATATAGACTTTTGAGGTTTTAACTGTGTGTCGAAATTGGGATAAATCTGGAAATAAACTAGGACTAGACCAGGACTAAATCAGGACTAGACCAGGTCTAAACCAGGATTAGACCATGACTAATACAGGACAAAAACAGGGAACTTAATCAGGACTAAACTAGCACTAGACCAGGACTACACAAGGACTAGACCAGGACTAACCCAGGACTAAACCAGGACTAAACTAGGACAAAACCATGACTAAACCAGGACTAAACAATGACTAAACCAGGACTAGACCAGAACTAGACTAGGACTAAACCAGGACTTGCCCAAGGCTTGCCCAGGACTAAACCAGGACTAAACCAGACTAGACCAGAACTAGACTAGGACTAAACCAGGACTTGCCCAAGGCTTGCCCAGGACTAGACTAACCAGGACTAAACCAGAACTAGACCAGGACTAGACCAAGACTGAACCAGGACTAAACCAGGACTAAACCAGGACTGAACCAGGACAAAAGCAGGACAGAACAAGGACAAAACAAGAACTAAACTAGGACTAGACCAAGACTAGATCAGGACTAGACCAGAACTAAACCAGGACTAAACCATGACTGAACCAGGACTAGAACAGAACTATACCAAGACTAAACCAGGACTTGATCAAGGCTTGACCAGGACAAAATTAGGAACTAAACTAGTACTAGACCAGGACTCTACAAAACTAAACCTGGACTATAGTGAGACTGAACCGAGACTAAACCAGAACAAAACCGAGTAACTAAACCAGGACTAGACCAGGACTAAACCAGGACAAAATAAGGACTAAACCGGGACTAAACCATGACTGAACCAAGACCAAACCAGGACTAGACCAGGACTATACCAGGACTAAACCAGGACTAATTCAGGACCTAACCATTCTAGATCAGGACTGAACCAGGACCACATCTGTACTCAGTTCTTTGTGTCATAATTTCCAGTTATGTTTAATCTGAATTATTCTTAACTCCACTCACAAACTGAGTCCTGTTGTTCAGATCCAGACCTGACATTAACACAGCACAGAGTCTGTACAGTTGTATTTTTAATCATGTTTAATAGATATTTTTAGTTCATGTTTTATAAATGCAAAGATGTCTTGATGTCTATTTTTCTGTTCAGCCCCTTTGGCTCTCAGCTGATCTTTATTTTAAACAATATCATTACATTTCTGAAGGATATGAAGGAAGTAATAACATAGATGACCTGTATTCACATCGTCCTCTGACCTTTTTGATACTTTGCAGCTGATGTCATCCACATTTCCTTACATCTGAGCTTTATTTTAACACAATTTGAAGATAAAGAGTTGACTTAGCTGGAACTACAACAGATGAGAAGATTTGTGCACCTTTTTGTTGAAAATCAAACTCCTAAACAGGACTATTAACACTTGTATTAATCACTGGCTCCTGAAAATGTTCTGTTTAAATCTGTTTTGCATATTTTTTTCTTTTTTTTTTTTCTTTTCACAGTATCTTAAAACTTATTCGGCTGAGTTTGCAAACGTGTGCATTGTGTCTCCATGCAAACTGCTGAATATCCCACCATAGAGATATATGTAGAGCTCGCCCGGCATGACGTCACTGCAAAGTATCAATATTGGTGGTGTCCGGATTCTAAAATGGGATGATGTCATACTCCCAGATGGGGGCAAGAGGCACTTTTTCCTATTGATCACATTGAACTTTGACGTGAATGATCTAAAAAGAAAATTCACAAATGTTTAATCTGAAGATTTTTTTATCACTGATTAGACACAACAATGTCTCGTATTACAACAGAAATATGCGTTTTAGCAATATTCATTATAGCTAGTGCCCCGTCTGTATTAAATATTATTGCTCTATAGAATATTGTGATGTCATTTGAAACCAGCAATAGAAAGTGTATTCACAGCAGCGCACACTGGTCCCTCAGTGGTGACTGTTGATCAGGTTAAAGGGCCCATATTACACTATTTTAGGATCTGTGTTATAATGCTGTTTCCTCATAAAAAAAAAATTGAGTTGTGTTTTGTTTCATTCACATGTTTAGCACACAAACCCTGCAGATTTAGGATGATTTTTTTTCACAAACAGAAAACACTCCATGCATTTTCACTAGAATCATTTGGATGATTTCAACCTTTTACCAGTTTCTACTGAGCTAAAGGTAAAAGGTAGCTGGTAACTTAAAAATTACCACTTCATGACATCACAAGGTGGAGCAGAGCATTCTGAGCTTTGGAGATGTACACAGACTAATAATAAAGGATTACTCAAACATGTGTGAATGAAACAAAACACAGCTCTGGGTATGTTTTTAATGAGGTAACAGCTTTATAATGTGGCTTAAAGCTCCTAAGAGTCACTTTTGTGTAATATAGGACCTTTAAAGTATTATTATAATACTCGTCATTATTAAATTCAGAATCATTGGAATAGCCAGTGATGTGTACATTACCAGTATAAGTTTAGGTAGATCTTTTATCTGCTACAAAAGTGGATTCTGTTTTCATTTTCATAAAGATGAAGTGAATGATGAAATGTTTGCACCATGTGCTGCTGTCTGCTCCATCTGTCTTTAGTGTAAGTCCTGTTCTATTGGATTAGAAAGTGTACACAGTGTATTGTGTTTGAGCAGCCTCTGACCCGCTCCTGTACAGAAATCAAACTGAAATAAAGTTTTATATTTGACTTTTTATCATGTCCCTGATCGTGTCTGAACAAAAATGCAAAATGATACTTGTGCGTGAGATGAAAGATTTGAGATAGAATTGTCTTTAACTGCAAATATAAATGAATCTAGGGTGACATCTAGTGGCAGAAAGCATACACTACAATCCTGCGTGTTAAATGTGCTGGAATAAAAGTTTCTTCCACATAAACGATTTTACTATCAAAGGAATACAAGGCAGATAGTGATTCAAATTACTTTAATTGCAAGAGACATTCAAATTTTTTGTGCAAAATAAAAAAATATTATAATAAAAACGTGGCATACTGAAAATAATACTGAGCAGAGCAAATGTAAACATAACTGACTTAAGACTTGGACACATAAAGCTGGTGTTTACCAACGTAAAAAACTATACAGACTTCGATACATCAAAAAGAATACTGAAATATTAAGTAAAAATAACACTTAAATATTGTGGTTTAAAATGTGTGTAGTGCTAGGAAGACCAGGTTTCATTTAATACTGAACCAGCTCCTCTTAACCAGCTTTTTTTTTTTTCATTTATTCACTGTGTAACTTTTCTGGTGGAGGGAACATTACTAGCCACAGTGATGTTATTGCTTCATCTGGAATGTTCCACAGTATGGCATTAAAATTACAATAAAGACAAGCAAGTGCCCCCATCGGGCCAAGTTACAGCTCAGATCTTTGGAGAGGCGACCACGAATGCAAGTTTTCCAGGCATTTTTTTGATCATTTTAATGTTATACCATGGAACACTGGAGGGAACATTACTAACTTATCTCCATGGCGTTATAGCTTTGCCTGGAATGTTCCACAGTATGGCATTAAAATGAGCTATTTGTTTTTGACAATAAACATATAATAAATTAAACGAATAAATGCAAGATGGATTGTTTTAAAGCATAGACTGTATAAAGAAGTGGGCTAAGGGAGTGTCACGTCACCCATAGCGTTCGGCTCTAGTCAAATGAAGCTCACTGAGGCTTGCAGTTGTAGGGAGAATTTGGAGCCAAGTTCCATATTAGGAAAATGAGTTTATTTACAGAGAAAATAGCAAAATAAAAGCACCAGGATCATGTAGCGCGGGTTATTATGAATGTTTTAAGACCAAAAGAGGGAGGCAACAGTTTTTCAGAGTAAAATCAATTGGAACCAGAGCAGATGGAGCCTGAGGCGCACCCATGCTCACTTCCTATTTTGAACGTGGCGCTAGTGGGTTAGTTATGTCCATTTATATATACAGTCTATGTTTAAAAACCATACAGTGGAATATCCATGGCAAATCTCAATGGAGACAAGCAACTGGCGATTTCTACATCAGAAAAGTTACGTAGTGCAACTTTAAAACACCACCATGCTTTATCTCATCCACGTGCCACGCCCCATCCCGCTCACAGGGGGCATCCCGGGGGGCAGGGGAGGGGGCAGCTGGCTGTGTCCCGTGGTGACCGGAGGAGGAGGGTACCCGCTGGTCAAACCCGACGCCAGGCCCAGGACGGAGGGGGGAGGAGGGGCGAGCAGGTAGCTGTAGGCGGAGAGGGGCGGGGCGTGGTAGGAGGTGGAGCCAGCGCTGGGGAAGTGGTAGCCCAGGGGAGGGGCGCACGCGGGGGGCACGGAGGGGTAGCAGGAGGCCTCGGTCTTTATCATGGACTGGAGGGTCTGGTAGCCTTCGCTGGAGACGAGGGAGCTGGTGCTGGGGACGTCCAGGGGGGAGGGGGAGGCGGAGGGGGGCAGTGGGGCAGAGGAGGGGGGGTGGGTTTGGGGGGCATCTCCGGGGCAGGTGGGTACGAGGGTTTGTGTTCTGTAAGAGCGACAGAGATACAAGGGTTATGGAACAGAGAAATCAACATGCATCAGTTTTAATGAGCAATTTTAAAGGTGCACTGTGTAACTTTTCAGATTGGAAGGTTAGACGTCTGCTTGTTTGCTGGAAAGTTCCACACTACGGCAATAAATATAAATAAATCTATCTCCATGGAAACAAGCAGGTGATGCAGGTTTTTCAAGGTTTTATTTAGTTATAAGAACACCTCTAATTGACTAAATGCAAGATAGAGAAGTTTAATGCCATATACTGTCACATTCTAGGCATGACAGTATTATATATGCAGACAACCATAATATAATATAATATAAAGGTGTAATGGAGGGTTAAGTAAGTAAGTAAGTAAGTAAGTCTTTATTTATATAGCACTTTTCACAGACATTTTTTCACAAAGACACTTTACAGAGCATTACATTCAGCATTATTCATTCACTCTATACCTGGTGATGGTAAGCTACTATTGTAGCCACAGCTGCCCTGGAGCAGATTGACAGAAGCGTGGCTGCCATGCCAATTAGCGCCAACGGTCCCTCCGACCACCACCATCACCCACGCACACACCGCTTTCATACTAGGCAATGTGGGTGAAGTGTCTACCCACTAGCACCAGTGCTAATTTCCACCTGTCGTCCCTGGGCAGGTTCATTGATTGATTGTATTTAACTGACCTTGACTATCAACTGTTTTGGAGACCTATGTAGCATGTTTTGGGTGAGTCATCTGCTTGTTTCCATGGAGATCTTACTGCTTTGTCTGAAATGTTCCACACTATGGCAATATACCTATTTCCTTGGAGACAAACTGGTAACACCACCAGGCCAAGTTACTGCTCATATCTGTGGAGAGGCGAACCTGCTCACACTAATAATATAGTTTTTCCAAGATATTTTTTTAGCTCTAATTTAATAAATGCAAAATAAAAGTTAAATTCCATATACAATGACATTCTAGGCAAAAAAGCGATAGACCTTCCATCAGAAAAATTACCTAGTGCTTTAATCATTGTTTCAGTTAATTAAAATAGCACAGAATATAAACTCTTACCTGGATTGACAGCAGGAGCAGGTGGAGGAGGGGGCGGAGGAGGAGGAGGGAGGAGCTCCGCAGCTGACAGCTCTGAGCACAGAATCACATGATAACACCAAAAGTTAATAGAGTTAAAATATATAAAATATTAGTACAATATACAGTATACATGTATGTTTTTCTTACTTGCTGGCTTGCTTTCTTCTTTAGGAGATGGCTAAAAACAAGAGAAACAAGAGAAAGAGTTTAAAACTGTAAATAAAAATAACATTACACCATGAAAACTACATATTATATATACATATACATGTTCTCTTCAGGCGACATTTGATTTTCTTATAAAACGTCCCAGTTGCTTTTCTGAATAGCTTTTGATTAATATTTCATCTTCACTAATCCATAGACAATAGTGTACTTAATTATGTATAGGAGGTACTGTTTGTATATATCTAAAATCACCTGAGCGGGTTTGGGGGGTCTGGGGCTGGTCTGGGGGGAGGCCTTCTTTGCTGGAGGGGGACCAATGGGGGAGGAGATGGAGGGGATGGGATTGTCTCCGCTCGCCCCATCTGGAATCTGCTGTTTAGCCTGAGAATACAGGTCAAGAATCTGGTGGCAGATGTCTGTAAAAAAAAAGAAGGATGTTAAATTAGTTCTGCTAGGATTTAATAATGTATTTAGGTTCATATATGAGAATGGCTGTGTCCAGAAAGTGTAGTGTTTGAAAGGCAAAGAACAATTCATTTTAAAATAACTTTACAGATCATTTTATCTGCCATGGTTTCGTTAGTTTTGCCATACTTTTTCATAATTTTCCTGGTTGCAAGAAAAACATCACACTTCTCACATCAGATGTAACTGTTTACTTGACATTTCAATAATCTGGCAACTGCAGAATTCAGATTATGATCAGATGTGTGCATGTAAAAAAGACATTAATTACAGAATCTTGAATCTCTATTCTCTAAAAATCAGTCTTTTACCTTCCAAAACCTCCACAGGAACATCGTGCACAAACTGCTCCCACCATCGCCGCGACGATTGTTTGGAAGTCCACTCCTGCAGGTCAAATTTACAGAGTCGTCCGGCGAGGTACATGACGGCCACAGCGATGATCTGAGGCTCCCACTGCAGCGCCACCATCGTACACAGACTGTCATTCACAAAAGTCCATGCCATCTGCACCAGCTTCTGAACCTTGTTTTTGTCTCCTGGGAAACAGAAAACAAGCAGAATTCAGCACAATAATTTGAATAAGGAATATGTTGTGTTCACTTTCTATAATAAAGTCATAATTTCAGATGGAGGGCAGATTAACTGTTTTTGAAAGAAATATCCAAATTTATGATCCACAGATGTTGAATGGTATCATTATTTGTTTGGGATTGGCACCGCAAACTTGTCATATTATTATATTATATTATGTTTTACAATCCTTTCAAGTGACAACAATCACATCTTTGAGGTTGACTGATGGCACCACTTTCTGAGGCTGTAAAAATAATTTGTTTACTTACGCTTACAGAGAAGACTTTGTGCCTTATCTACTTGCGACACTTATTAAGTTTCACGAGCCTTCATCTTATTGGACACATCTGAGCTAATGGCATTCGTTTACAATAAAAAATCTGAGTAATACAAATACTAAATATAATAAGTACCTTTTAGCTGTTTTGCGTAGCGCAGCAGAAACTGGTACGGATGCTCCACCTGCAGGTCAAATTTAATGGTCTGTAGTAAGATTCTCTCCAGCACCATCACTTCCTCCTGTTGACAAAATGCATACTTTAATGAAGCAATAATAAACTAAATATGCAAGTGAGTAAATCAGAATATAAACAGTTATTTCTGTAGACAAACCTTTGGGTCATCTCCAAACTGAGCAAACTGGATGTCATTGAGGAGGCTTCGTGCAGTCTTGATGATGTCTTTGCACTTTTTGGGTGTTTCTTCCACTTTTCCGGCCAAGAAAAGGCAGCAGGCCCCAGTCACCTGCGCAAAACAGCTTGATTATTGAGCCTGATATCACTATGAAAGGTTGAACTAAATATTTAAAAATATACTTACATATCTGGGGAACTGCTTAAAAGAGTGGAACATGTAAAATCTGTGGAAATATACAATCCCGGTGGCCAGTGTTTCATAATGTCTGAAGTAAAAGCAGTTAAGAAATATTCACATTTCTAAAATTGTTTGTAGACTAAACAAATCTTGAACACAAAAAACCCCAAATCAGTAAATATTATATACAAACTAGTCAAGTGCATTATACTGTGTTTAATTATAATTCAGTCTAATATAGTTTTGCTTTGATACATGTTTATAATTATCAAATACAGTTAATTATTATTGGTTACTAGTTTTCAGACTGCAATTTTATAACATAAGTCAGTTTTATTTTAAGGATAACATACTTTTTCTGATAAATATCCAAAAGAAACATCCGCAGTTAATGAAATTGAAGATTGTTTTCAGTTTGTATTATTTTTATGCACTATAAATGCCAAAACAAGTGAATCCCCCCTTTGAGATTAGAGTTATCTTTTGTTTAGGTAGATATTATTAATGAACTACACAGTAATTACACGTTTATGCAAGGTTATTATAGTACACATCAGTGTATCATCTCTAGTAAATGAAGGATGGGAGCTCTTGCATATTTATGAGTGTCAGTGAAGGATACAGCCCGAGTCTTGTTCCTACATCAAATATGAAGCGGGCCCCCTCTCTGCGGTACCGGGCCTCGGTGGCCGGGTCCAAACCCTCGGACTGGGACGGGGTATGCGCCAGGTCCTTCTTGTCCCAGTACCAGCATGGTTTTATGTCCAGAAGAGACGGGTCTTTCCTGTCCCAAAACATGGAGGTTCTGCAGTGGTCCGGGATGCTAACCAAGCCAAAAAAGTCCGATCCAACAAAATGCAAATCTGTTTGGGAGTTTTACTATTTATATCCAGTTTTTCCTTTCCATTTGATCTACTAGCATCACAAACCGTTATAGCATATAGCGAAATAGCAAATATAGCATCAGTTTATTAAATATACAGCGGTTGCATAAAACAAGAAAAAATAACAATAAAAATTTAAAAGATCTTCTGCTATTCTTGTCGAAACTGTATCTATACCAGTGAACATTTCTTCTTTATTTTGCAGTAAAATAAAAAATACTAATCCAAACAAAGGCTACATCCCCGAACCTGGTCCGTATTTTTGATTGACAGCCTCCTCCACCAATCGCACAAGCTAAATCAAAATCCATATAAGGAAGTTTTCAGCTATCTGTTACATATCAGCCAATCGGGATACTTTATAGGCGGGGCAAATTCTTTATTTAGCTATTTTTATCCAATCACAGCACAGACTGAGAACAGCGCCAATCAAAATCCGGATATTTTCGTAGGCGTAGTTCAGAGCGACACCAATCGTAAAAGGAAAAGGGACTCGCTAAATTCTAGGCATTTCCATCGGGGCGGGTTATAAAGTCAGAAAACACTCGCAGTAGTTAAAAAACATGCTGAAATATTTCCATTAATATTTTTTTATTTTTTTTTTTTAAATCTTCTTACTGTCTGTCTTCCACTGACAGACATTGGCTTTACGTATTTTAGCTACTGTTCTATATCACATGATTTGCTTTTTTCTTCAAACGTCTTCAGATAACTTTAATTAAGGACAGAATATTGGAATAAAAAGTAAATTTTGGGTGGAAAATAACTAATCAAAAGAGCTCATTTATAGGGTGACCAGAATTTCAAAATCTAAAACTGGGACAGTCGGTTTGGAGTGGTTGGTAATAATAAAATTGTGAAACGAGTACATTAATGAAAATTGTTACGCACTCGATGAATCAGTATAGTCAAATTTTTTGTGTGTTTTGGTCATTTTTAAGAAGCTTTTCTGCATTTTACCGAAACAAACGACAATTTATGCTTCTTTTTACTGTTGGCAGGGATCAAATTGGTCAAAAATAGGGACACTTGGGACAGTTCTTGTATAAAACTGGGACAAATCACTGGTTTTGGATAAATCTGCTGGGACAGGGGACACAGGGCTCAACACTGGGACTGTCCCGGGGAAATAGGGACTTCTGGTCACGCTACTCATTTAGGAAATTACAAGCAAAAATGTGTGAGCGTGTAAATAGCAATGCAGACACTTTTTCAATTTGCTTTATTTATTTTTTATTAAATTTTATTTTTATTTATTTTTATTTTACTTAATCTCAAACCAGTCTCTTCTTAGCTTTCTTAACTTTGAAAATCTAACTCATAATTTATTTTTATTAGCAAAAAAAAAATAATCATAAGAGTTAGTGACGTCGTCGCTAAACCACGCCCACCCGGAGGAAATGCCTAGACTTCAGTCCTCGAGCCACTCGTTCAAGTTGGGTTTCCGTGCAGGGATAGAGGAACTGCTGCTGTCACTTAAAAAGGTATGACTAAAGCGAAGAAAAATGTCAACTTTCTTTGCAACATACGAGCCTCCAGTCTGAGTTATCTGTGCGTGTGTTTGCGTTCTGTTTCGGTGTAAACACGCAGCGTCATTTTTGCCCCTTTTGAAGCTGAATCAGATTAGCTGCTTCTCAAACTCAGCCTGATCCTTGACAGCTTAGCACAGTTAGCATGGTCTGCTCTCGACACTACAGCCGAAGTGTATGAATGAGCCCTGTACTCCGCTCAGATCCAATTAGATCGCTTCACAGATGGGCGTGATACCTCCAAAAAGAAGCTACGAGAGGGCTGCTGCTGCTGGCCTACCCCTGCAAGCTGCTGTTAGCCGCTAAATGACAGAAAATACAAGAGAATAAACGAGCAGGTTGTGCTGGAAACATTGACCGTTGCTTTACGAAGATTTTCCAAACACTGAGGTTCATTCAACTTATTGGTAGGCCCACGTTTAGATCTGGTTTAGTCATGATTTTGGACAGAATTGCTATTTTTTAGCACTGTTTTTAGACCTTGTTTAGTTCTAGTTGTGTCTTGGTTTAGTCCTCCTTGTGCTGTCCTGGTTTAGTTCTGGTTTAGTCATGATTTTGGACAGAATTGCTCCTTTTTAGCCCTGTTTTTAGACCTTGTTTAGTTCTAGTTGTGTCTTGGTTTAGTCCTCCTTGTGCTGTCCTGGTTTAGTTCTGGTTTAGTCATGATTTTGGACAGAATTGCTATTTTTTAGCACTGTTTTTAGACCTTGTTTAGTTCTAGTTGTGTTTTGGGTTAGTCCTGGTTGAGTCTTGGTTTAGTCCTTCTGGTGCTGTCCTGGTTTAGTTCTGGTTTAGTTATGATTTTGGACAGAATTTCTCATTTTTAATCCTGTTTTTAGACCTTGTTTAGTCCTAGTTGTGTGTTGGTTTAGTCCTCCTTGTGCTATCCTGGTTTAGTTCTAGTTTAGTCATGATTTTGTACAGAATTTCTCCTTTTTAATCCTGCTTTTAGACCTTGTTTAGTTCTAGTTGTGTCTTGGTTTAGTCCTGGTTTAGTCTCCTTTAGCTCTGACAGTCTCAAGACTTTTTTGAGTTCTGATCTATTTTTTGTTCAGGTTTAGTCCTGCTTTAATTCTTAGTCCTAAAGGCTTACTTTAGTCCTGCCTTAGATCTGGTTTAGTTCTTGGGTCCTGGTTTAGTTCTGATTTAGTCTCCTTTTGCTCTGACTGTCTCAAGACTTTGCTTAGTTCTGTTCTATTTTTTTCCCCCAAGTTTAGTCCTGGTTTTGATTCTCTTTGTCCTATTTGTGTCTTGGTTTAGTCCTGGTTAAGTGTTGGTTTAGGGTTTAGTCCTTCTGGTACTGTCTTGGTTTAGTCCTGGTTTAGTCTCCTTTAGCTCTGACAGTCTCAAGGCTTTTCTGAGTTCTGATCTGTTTTTTGTTCAAGTTTAATCCTGGTTTAATTTATCTTAGTCCTAAATACTTACTTTAGTCCTGCTTTAGATCTGGTTTAGTTCTTGGGTCCTGGTTTAGTTCTGGTTTAGTCTCTTTCAGCCCTGACTGTTTTCTTTGCTTGGTTCTCTTCTAGTGTATTTTTGTCCAAGTTTATTCCTGGTTTTATCTTTCTTAGTCCTATAGACCTATTTTATTCCTGGTTTAGTTCTTATTTAGTTCCACTTTAGTCCTGATTGGGTCTTGGTTTAGTTCTGGTTTAGTCCTCTTTAGCTCTGACGATCTCAAGACATTGCTTAGTTCTGTTCTATGTTTTTGTTCAAGTTTAGTCCTGGTTTTGCTTCTCTTCGTGCTAGTTGTGTCTTTGTTTAATCCTTCTGCTACTGTCCTGGTTTAGTTCTGGTTTGGTCTCCTTTTGCTCTGACTGTCTCAAGACATTGCTTAGTTCTGCTGTGTGTTTTTTTTTTGTTTTGTTCAAGTTTAGTCCTGGTTTTGATTCACTTAGTCCTAAAGACTTACTTTAGTCCTGCTTTAGATCTGGTTTAATTTTTATTTAGTCCCACTTTAGTCCTGATTGGATCCTGGTTTAGTCTCTTTCAGCTCTGACTGTTGTAAGACTTTGTTTTGTTTTTGTTTTTGCATGTTTATTCCTAGTTTTGTGTCTCTTAAAGGTCTAATTCAGTTCTGCTTTAGATCTGACTTAGTTCTTATTTAGTTCCACTTTAGTCCTGGCTGAGTCACTGTTTTAGTGACTGTCTTAAAACTTGCCTTAGTTCAGTTTTGCGTATTTTGTCCAAGATTTAATCCTATTTTTGTCTCATAGTTTTACAGGTCTATTTTCAGTCCTGCTATAGTCCTGGTTTAGTTCTTATTTAGTCCCACTTTAAGTCTGGTTTTGTCCTTTTTGGTCCATGGACAGAGTAAATATACGAAGCACAGTTTACACACCGCAAACTGTTAAAAAAAACAGCCTAAAGTGAAAAGTGAAAACGTAACACAAAAAAGTACAGCTAAAGCCACACTGCCCTCAAAAAAAAAAAAAAAAAAAAATATAATATATATATATATATATATAGAGAGAGATAGAGAGAGAGAGAGAGAGAGAGAGAGAGAGAGACTGCTGAACTGGTACTTAGAATAACACAAAAATAAATAAAAAAGGTGTTATAATGCTGAAGAAAATATAAAGTTGACATATGAAGAAAGTAAAAACGGTAATATTACTTTATACTACTTTATGTAATTGTCTCATAACTGTAAAAGCCATTTTGTAAACGTACAAAATCGTTAAAAAAATATAAGCTACAATAAATAAATATGTGAATGAAACACTAGGAGATATCATAAAAGTTACTCTATAACTCAGATAGTATTGTACTACAAAAAATAACAAAAAGTACCCACGCTAAACGATTGAACAGTTTCATTGATCATTTACTGAATTATAAGATGAGCACTGCGATTGCGATTAGATTTGAGATTTATAATATAATATAATATAATGTTTTATAATAGGATTCAGTTCAGAGTTCACATTTAAACACGACCAGAAGAATCGACCAAAAGACTGAAATATGAACTGACACACAAATACAAGAATCACATTTCAGAACATGCTTGTGCAGATCTGATCTACACGCTCAGCAGTTTTTATGCAGGATATTTAGTTGTTTGTGGAGGAGATTATGATACTTAAAATTTGCTAATTGCATCCATTGAATTTGTTATTTTATTTTGATTGCGATGAACTCTGCTTGGTTTCAAAACAGACTTGGTGTGCTTGTTTTTATGGGGTCACAGACAGCTGCCCCGGAGTCCGAACAGCTGTGACTGTGGTCCACTGCGAATGTGACTGCAAAAAATCTATTTGTTTTTTAATAGTACAGTCATAAACTTCTATGCAGTAGGAATATGCAAGAATTGACCTGCAAGATTTATTTAAACTGACTCAAAATCACAATTTGAATCGGAACCAATTAGCAAAGATGGTAGTTGTTTAAAGGTGCACTGTGTAACTTTTTGGTTGGTTGTCTGTCACCTGCTCGTTTCCATTGTTCTACCTAGAATGTTCCATAGTATGACATTAAACAGCTCTAACTTACATTTATTCAATTACAGTTGGTTTTATAGCTCAAAAATAACAAGAAAAACAGACATTCTGACTGTGAGTGAGATCGCCTTTCCACAGATCTGATTTCTAACTTGCTCTGGTTTGATCTCCATGAAGATAGAAAGGTTTAAAATCATACTGTGAAATGTTCCAGACAATAACACCTCCATGGAGAAAAGCATTTGATCTGAAAAGTTACAAAACGCACCTTTTAAATAAGATAAAAAAGAAGAAGAAATATTTTAAAAAATCCTCTTCTGCTAAATCTGCCAACTGTGATGTGGTTGAAAAATTCCACCAACTGAAATGCATCTGATTCTTTTATTAGTTTAGCAGTTCAGCTTTCAGTCCTCTCTCAAATCTTAATGCTCCTGGATGTCTTTAAAAGGTGAACAGAATCCTAATATAAACAGAAATTGAATCGTAATCACAAAGCTTGTCAGAAATATTATAAATAGACATTTTGCTAAAATCATACAGCCCTAGAACAATACATTAACATCAGGGACTAACGTTCTCACTGTTTCCCATAGATTTTGTTAAGACTATGGTGGCACAAATCAAGTTTTATTTTAATGATTTAATCTCATTCAATTCAATTCGTGGAGTAAAAATGTCACTTACTGCCTGTATTTGAATTTTCAACAGCCATTTTTAACCAGTGTAGTCTCTTTTAAAAGTGAATGATGGTAACAATGAGCAACAAAGTCTAATTTTGTAATGCCAATATATTGTCTAGTTTATTTTAGGCTGTGGTGGGGCAACTGTAGTCTCCTGTATTAACGGGAAACACTGCTTCTGTGCTGATCTGTGGTGTAATAAATAGTAGCTTCAATGCGTTTCAACATAATGGGGAATCTAGAGTATTGCGCAAAAGATTCAGAATGTTTTATTTGAACTGGAGCAAATGAGTAACAAATCTTCAGCCAACCATTGTCAGGCTGTCACTTATTAAACAGGGCACTGTGTGGAGTAGGTACCAAGTATTGGACGATAACGTCATTTTGTGTCACAATTGTAATGGGCAAAATAATAAAAATTAAAGATAATATTACATAAAACCTATTCTCAGTATAAAAATGTTGCGGAAATATACTCACATGATAATTATTTCTTATCATGAATTACTTCTTTGTGTAAACTACTATGGTAATATGGTATTGTACTATTTGTTGTACTGTTGGCCAACAAAATACTGTGCATTCAATCATCTAGTCTAGTACGTGTGGTATCAAAAAAATGTGTGAAGATATAATTTAAAATTTCTGACACTGTATTTGATGCTTTTGTAAAATAACAAAATAATATAATTTAGTTATATTAAGCCAAATAACATGATAAAAATGACTCAAATAAACAGTGGATTTTAATTGGATTTAAAATTTTCACTTATGATTTCAAGTTGCAAATATTTAAAATCTGATTAAAATCAGCTCTGTTTCTTTGAGTAGTTTTTATTGTGTCATTAACAAACTACAATTTCATTTTGCAGTTGGGGACAGTTGCGCGGCTATTTTTGGGGGTCCTGACCTGAACAGTTTGCAATCCCCTGATCTAGGTTAAGGTTTCAGAGTTTCGTTAATGTTTCTCATAATTCAGCCCTCATCAGTGTTACCTCTTAATGGACAACGCCTGATTTGCATGAGCCTGTATAAACACGTGCTGAAGTGTGTTTTGTCTCTTAGTTTTCCATCAGTAAAATGGGGAAGAAGAGTCGAGTGAAGACTCAGAAGTCCGGCTCCGGGGCCACAGCTGTGGTTTCCCCCAAAGAGATGATGAACCTGATTTCTGAACTGCTCCAGAGTAAGTCCACACTATTATATTTGTACACAGAATATTCTACTACCACATATTACACGACTCAGTATTTCATTTTCCATTTGTCTATAAGCAGAGAGCATTACCCACACAAGTTAGAAGTTGATAAAAAAGCACCTCTTTATTCTACATTAGAGCTGCAAGATCAATCGCAATTAAATCAAAATTACACTTTGAAAAGACACAATTAGCAAATCGCAAAGGCTGTCATTTTTTATGTGTCCTAATTTCCTCCACAAACACAAAGTCTCCTGTCTCCTTCTCCTGATTCTGCTGTTCTGATATGTGATTCTTGTGTAAATTTATATTTCAGTCTTTTTTGTGAATTCTTCTGGACGTGTTTAAAACTTATTATAAAAACATAAAACTCAAATCTCACACAAAGCTTGTCAGAAAAATCGTAACAGATATTTTATCTCAAATCATGTACTGTACAACCCTGACACAGTTTTCTCCATGAAAGAAATGACTTGGTGTCTAATCAAAGATCACCACCAAAACTTCTAAAAACACAATTATCTATTTGTATTTGATATACAAAAGTACCCAGTGTTTCTCTTATGGTTTGCTCTTGTTTTTCAGAGTGCAGCAGTGCAACTCCCGCAGCTGGTAAAGAGTGGGAAGAATACATACAAATCAGAGCACTGGTGGAGAAAATACGCAAGAAGCAAAAAGGTAATTTCATTTGCACTTTTTAATTTGAATTCTTATTAACTTATATTTATACAACCATGCTTTTATTATTGTCTAAAAAGTACATACTATGGATTTAATTAAAAAGAAAATATCATGTATAATAAAACAAAAACAGTTACTAATTTTCTGCTCGATCTCCAGGTATTTCCATCATATTTGAAGGCAGCAGAGAGGACCACTTCTCAGACCTACTGTCCTGGGCTCAGGACTGTGGAGCTTCCACCGATGGATTCACTGTGGCCGATTTTGGGGCTGAAGGATACGGACTGCAGGCCACTAAAGACATCAAGGTAAAAGAATTCTGCTGTGTGGACTTTAGTCTGTGAAATCAGAGGTTCATTTCACTATATGCACTGACTCTTCAAGTAGCTCTAGGCCTAAACACTGTTAAAAAGGGTACGACCACACTTTATCACACCACATCAGCTATAAATAAACTCAGAACTAAACCTGAACTGGATCATGACTTAACCAGGACTTGAAGAGGACCAAACTGGACTCAAAACGAAACTAAATCAGAATGTATAGAGACCAAAAATTATGCTAGAAATGTTCACAAGACCCAGTAGAAGCCTCTGAATCTTCATTTGTGAACTCTGAGAAAAATAAAATACTGAATTTCTGAAAGTGTCGTAACCGTATTCTCTTAATAGTCTATTGTTTAATGTTCCTTTGCAAGTGTGTATTTAGGAAGGGGGAAATTTGACCCCTCAGATTTTCCAAAACAAGGAAAGCAAACAAACACTCAGCTTGAGGCTCTTGTGTTGAATAACTGCTCTGTTCGTGACAGGCAGAGGAGCTGTTTCTGTGGATTCCCAGGAAGATGCTGATGACAGTGGAATCGGCACAGAACTCTCTTCTGGGTAAGACTTTCAATAAGAGTGAGCTATGTTTCAGATCTGCAGTGAGGATAACGAACTTGTCACATCGTCACAGTTAACGGTTCAATTTGAATAATTTTCCTTGAATAAGTTAAAAGGTCAATATTTCCAAACATTAAACCTGATTAAACCTAACCCCTTTAAACAAAACCACATGCCACAGTATCTTCAAGTACAGATATTCATGTTTCATCCATTTAGACTTAGACAAACTTTATTGATCCACAAGGGAAATTACTTGGACACAGTAACTCACACATCACAGTATATTACAATAACAAAGAGTAAATAAAAAACAAATAAAGATGGTAATAAAGTTCTGAATAAGTAGCAATAAAAAATAGCAAGAGACTGTTGTCAAATAAGACATAAATTATATAAAAGTATGTACAGTAATTAAAAAAACCCAAATATGATAATATAAATGCAGTATTTCACTGTTGTATATAAGAGGTGGTAAGGAAAAGAGTACAAAGATAATAAAATGAATGACAGAAGCATAGGCTTATCTGTTAGATAAAGTTAAGTTGTTGTACATCTGTATAGAGTATGGTAGTCCTGTATCTCTTTATTATCTCTCTCTATTTATGATAAATATTATGGACATAACAGTTGTAATAGAAAGAAGATAAAGTTCTTCAAGGATCTGTATGTAGCCTGTGCACTTAGTTTTAAACAAGGTATTACAATCACAACTGAAATCTGGGTTGAGGCTAGAGAACTCACTCACTGAGCTGCAGAGGCCACACTAGCACTGATTCATGACTGGCTGCAGGAGCTGGGGTTTAGGCAGTGACCATTCAGATCAGAGAGGGACATTTTAGATTTAAAGTAACTGGATTTCAGCATTGAATAATCATCTTCAGAACCAAAACACCAAATTATAATGCCATATTTTTTGGACTATAAGTCACACTTTTTTCATGGTTTGGGTGTTTCCTGCGACTTATACTCCATTGCGACTTATATATTAAATTTTTCAGACTGACAGCCACGAGAGGGCGCTCTAAGCTTGTGTGTCAGTTTTCTACTTGTCTTGTGCAGAAAAAGCCGCTTCTCTACTGCAAGTAGTGAAATATGCAGCCGAAAACGGTAACCAAGCAGCAGAAAGAAAGTTTGGAATAAGTGAGAAACTTGTGATTGACTGGAGAAAAGCAGGGATAGAGAACACAGCTTCACGGCAACAGGGAGGGTGCAACATGCCCTGACTTCAGCGACAACCGAAGTTGCACTAAGTTACTCCAAAGTGACACCGAGGATGAAGAATTCTATGGATTCAATGGATTTAGTAATTTGGAGTGAGAGAGAGAGTTTGGTAAACTTACGTTATGTTGTTTATGCTATAGTGATCTGAACAACTATTAACATACGTTACGTTAACATACCAGACACCTATTCAGCCTGTTGTTCTTTATTCTATTGTTATTACTGTAACTTGCCTTTCAAGATAAAATGTCGGTTCCTGGTCCCTGATTTTATAAAATAAATTTCTCCCAAAAAGTGCGACTTGTAGTCTGTTATAGTTATAGACTTATATATGTTTTTTTCTTCTTCATTACGCATTTTTTGGCTGATGCGACTTATACTCCGGAGTGACTTTATAGTCCGAAAAATACGGTAGTAACTTGGCCATCAAATCAGGATTCCAATTGTTATTAGTAAAGCTATAATTGGTTTTGACATATCTCTTATTTTGGGTTATATTTGTGAATTGCATTACCAAAATATTACATGCAGTCCTTTAAATTTGTAAAGATTTCTCCATGTCCCTCCTCAGGTCCTCTGTACAGTCAGGACAGAATCATGCAGGCCATGGGGAACGTGACCCTGGCCCTTCACCTGCTGTGTGAGCGCTGCACCCCGGGCTCCCATTGGCTCCCGTACATCCGCTCCTTGCCCCTGGAGTACGACACCCCCCTCTACTTCAACCAGGACGAGGTGCAGCTGCTCATGGGCACGCAGGCGATCCCAGACATCCTGAGCCAGTACAAGAACACAGCACGGCAATACGCGTACTTCTACAAACTCATACAGGTTAGAGGGCGTTCATTTTTTACTTTTGTCTCTAACCTTGACAGACTCACTCAACACCTTCAAAAAACATCTCAAACCTCATCTTTTCTTCATAGCTTATAAGCTCCACAAATGACTGCTTCCTCGCTACCTGTTTCGTGTTACTTTACTGTGAAGTGTCTTTGAGTTACCATGAAAAGAGCTATATAAAATGTATTATTAATACTAACGCTCGATCTCGTCTGATATCTGAAGCTACGCAGGCTTGGGCCTGGTAAGTATTTGAATGGGACACCTCGCCGAATATCAGGTGCGGGGGGGTCAGGGGTGTCAGTGCAGGAAGGGCCCCTTTACAAAGTCTGTAATGAGCATTATTCATAAAACATAGTGCAGATTTGTTAGCCAGGCTGGCGTCACCGAGTGCTTCTGCTCAATTTCATTTCTCTCCAGCGACTAGGTCAGGAATCAGAATACACTAGACGGTTCGCAAAAACCCCGAAAGTGCGAGTTCAGGCACCAGCCAATCATCGAAGAGCCATATATTCTGTGTTATCAATGATTCCCGAGATCGAGGATTTAAAGCTGGAACAAACAGAATGATTGGTGAATTTTATCAAGGGGAAAGACGTTATTGCCCTTCTTCCTACGGGATTTGGGAAAAGCTTAATATACCAATTAGCCCCATTAGCGGTGCATTACATATGTCATGACCAAATAGCAGCGATTGGTTAAATAAAAAAAAAAAAAACTACCGTCGAGCGAACAAATTCTTACGCTGCGATTTCAGATGGTTTCTACGAAGTGAAACCGGCTGATGAATCAGGCTACAGATTTGTACCCAGAGCAAAAAAAAGTTGTGCTTACACCCCTGGCCACAGTGAAGCAGCAGTGGCTTTATATCAAACCACTCTTGTGTCTTTAGGCAGGACAAAACATAACAAAAACAGTAACTAGAATCAATTATAAGTTGTTATAAATCAGATATGGCATTTAAAAGAACAAAAAATCATTCATATGTGCATTGTGTATCTGTAACTCTTCTATTTGTAGTTTCAGAAATAGTTTTTACATAGGTTATAGGTTTTATGGACATGGCCTGGGATATACCATATACTAAAGCTTAGATATCAGATCAAATTTTATATTTCATCAATTTAGAACATCTTCCGGTGTTTTTGCTCTTTTATGATTATACCCCAAATTTATGTTTACTACCTACTCAGTAAAAAATACAATTAGAATGTATATTAAGCACCATAAATATATATATTAAAAATGTTCAGGCTAAAAATATTTGTATCTATAACAAAATACTCTAACATTATTACAGTTTTACTTCATCATTATTCAGACAGTTAAAATGATTTGATTCCAAGGCTCTGCGGGGTTTTCCCTGTTCTTAAATTTGAAACTGCCACGTGCTGATATTCATTTCAACCTGAAGTAAACTGCAGCTTCAGGTAGTTTCTGTGCACTGCCAGTAGAGGGAGACAACAAGCTACTATATATAAAAAAGGGGAAGTTGCGGTATTATCAGTTACCAGTGAATAAATATATTTTGTGTTAAACTTATTAGATATTAGAATTTAAAAATCTGGTTGAATACAAGAAATATTTTGCACATTTACTCAAGCAATCACTGACTCTGGATTCTGTCTGTATTTTACAAACAACCTCAGAGAATTGTGAATAAAATACAGTTCTGCTTGTGTACACTAGGTGGGAGTGTTGTGTTCTATATGACTGTAGCCATGAGTCTTTAATGTTTGTGTGTTTAGGTGGGATTATCTTCCAAAGGGGGGCTATAATTTATACTCCTATGTTATAATCTCGCTAAAGGTTGTACTCTTCTTCACTGTTACTAAATGACAGTGTTATACTAAATATTATTAATTACTATCAAATCAAAATAACCATTCGATTTGAGACACATTTCTTAAAGGTGCATTGTGTAACTTTCTGGTGGAGGGTCGTCACATCCTTTTCTCCACAAAGATGTTATTGCTTTGTCTAGAATGTTTCAAGGTACGGTATTAAACCTTTCTATCTTCATGGAGCCCAAACCAGGCCAAGTTACAGGTCAGATCTGTGGAGAGGCAACCCCGCTCACAGTCAGAATGTTTGTTTTTGTTGATATTTTTCTGCAATTAATACACTCACAATTAAATAAATGTAATAGAGAGAATAGAGAGAAGTTTAAAGCCAAACTGAGGAACATTCCAGACAGAGAAAAAAAGCAAGCAGATAATGGACGCTTTGCTAGAAATGTTTAAGTGAAGAACATGCGAACTCCACACAGATGCTCCCAATATGGATTGGAAATTAAACCTGGGACCTTTTTACTGTGTGGACTGCAAACCAATTACCCATGCAACAGCTAAAAGGAAAATCCCACCATTGTAACCAGAATTTGGGATTCACTCTCTCTCTCTCTGTCTCTCACTCTGTCTCACTCTGTCTGTCTTTCTCTCTCTCTCTCTTTCTCTCTCTGTGTTTGTCTCTGTCTCTCTCTCTCTCTCTCTTCTGTCTCTCTCTCTCTCTCTTCTGTCTCTCTCTCTCTGTCTCTCTCTCTCTCCTTCTGTCTCTGTCTCTCTCTCTCTCCTTCTGTCTCTGTCTCTCTTCTCTCTCTCTCTCCCCCCCCCCTTCTCTCTCTCTCTCCCTTTCTCTCTCTCTCTCTGTATCACTTTCTGCCTCTTGCACTCTTTCACTCTGTCTGTCTTTCTCTCTGTGTGTTTGTCTCTGTCTCTCTGTCCTTCTCTCTCCTTCTCTCTTCCTCTGTATCTTTCACCCTTCTTCTACCTTCCTCCCCTCCTTCCCCTCTCTCTCTCTTTTCGGTCTCTTCTCTCTGTCTCTCTTTGTCTCTTTCTCTCTATCTGTGTCTCTCTTTCTCTGTCTCTCTTTATCTCTTTCTCTCTCACTGTCACTTTTTGTCTCTCTCTAATTTCCCTGTCTCTCTTTCTCTCTTTGTCTCTCATTCTGTCTTTCTCTCTATCTCTGTCTTTCTCACTCTGTCTCTCTTTGTCTCTTTCTACTCTTTACTCTCATCTCTTTCGCTCTCTCTACTCTGTCTCTCTCTCTGTCTCTCTCTCTCTCTCTTTCTCTCTCTCTCTGTGTCTCTTTTTGTCTCTATCTGTCTGTCTCTCTCTGTCTCTTTCCCTCCATCTCTCTGTCTCTCTCTTTCTTTCTCTTTCCTTCTGTGCTCACCAAAATCCACCTCTCTGCCTGGGCACTGTCCCCCTCTCTCTCTCTCCCCCCTCTCCCCTGCGCCTCACCTCCCTCCTACTCAGATGACCGGACTGGAAAATTAGCTTGTCACATTGGCTTTGAATTGAATTGACCTGAATGTACCTTCTTCAAAAAAGAAAAAAGAGCCCCCCCCTTTCCCCACTCTCTCTTATCTCTCCTCTCCCTCCCTCCCTCCCTCCTTCCTGTGTCCGGTTTGCTGGTATTTCCTGGTTGATGTATGCTGATGTATACAGACAGATTCAGACAGGACAATTACTGACACGCGACAAAACATGGAGATGGGGAGCAGTCATGTAAAGCTATTTCGTCAGATCACTGGACAGAGATAGGAGGGTGTCTGTGGACTTGTATTTGAAAATAAACTGTCAATCTCATTTTGGGGTTTTTACATAAACATAGTGTAACCAGTGTATATGGTATGTTCCAACATCAACAACAAAAACCTGCAGCAAAATATATGTATTTCTTTCACTTTTTGTCTAGTATTTCTCAAGGATTCTCAGGTTTGCTTTTGAGCGATCAGAACATATTAAGTATATCAAAATTATAATTTCTAATGCATGTTTTGTCCTCGCTTGTGTCTGTATCATTTTTGTGAGTTTAGTTTGATTGATCATGATCTGGAAAAGAGGAAAAAGTGGAGTTACCCCAATGAAAAAAGGGAAAAAAATAAATTAAAATGTAGTTTATTCATTTAAGGGTTAATGCATTATTGAATTAATTTAATTATGAATGACACAACTTTTTGACTTGTCCTATACTAGATCTTAGTATAGGACAATCATTTCAGATTTTTTTTTTTTTAACTGTAGTACTCTGTCTTTTTTAACTGGGCACAGTATAAATGAGGTTTAAAACAATACCTTCAGAGAGGATAAACGGCATTGAGTAACCAGTATTGTTTTGACTAAATGTGTAAATGACACAAAAACACAACTCCAGGTATATTTTGTTCAGAAAACTGCTTTATAACATGGCTAAAATCTCAAATAGCTTTAGTATTCTACAGAACTTTCAAGTTTCAAGTTTAATTTAAATTTTTAAATCAGAAACTCCATTTATGAAGCACTAATCAGCTGCTTGCTCTGACATCCCAGGCCTTGTTTGGTTTGCCCTCTGTGTCTTATACCCAGGCCAGAACACAGTATGTTCAGGCTCTGGCCCTGTCCCTGATACCTGGAGCCCCTCAGTGTGTTCAGCTCTGGCCCTGTCTCTCATACCCAGGACCCCTCACTCTGATGGATGACCCCTGTCTGTGGAGGAGCTGTTGACATGGAGCTGTAGACATGTTTCATTCAGATCTGCTCCACGTGTCTGTCTCCTGACAGCAACATTTCTCACTGGTTTTAGCTTTTACAATTCTTAATCATGAAAAAGAGTTTCTTTTGAGCTTTTAGCCATTTTAGAATATTGTGTCCTCATCAGAAACATTTCTGGAGTTGTGTTTTGTGTCATTCGCACATGTTTGTATAATCCTTTATTATTAGTCAAAGTCTCAATGTTTTGTTTCACCTTGAAGGGGTAATTTTCAAATTAACAGCTACCTTTTACCTTTTGTACTGTAGAGATTTGCAATTCCAGGGCTGAACTTATCTAATTTATTCTACTGAAGGTGTATGGAGTTTAAAAACACAGTAGAACACTTCCTATATTACCACATGACATCACAAGGTGGATCATTTTCTGTTGAAGAGAAGAATTCTAGCCTAAATAAATAAACTAAATAAACCTAAATAAAAAGTTTGTCTCTGTGGAGATGTTAATGTTCCATAGTATGACATTAAACTGATCTACCAAGTTGTGTTTATTCATTTATTTTGAAAAAGCCAGTTGCAGGTCTGATCTCTAACTGGTGGCTATACCTGTATCTCTACTCTCTATGTAGATGAACAAGTTTAATGCCATACTGTGGAACATTCTAGACAAAAAAATATAATCTTCATGGTGACAATGGGGTGGCTGACTAGACCAGAAAAAAGTTACATAGTGTACCTTTAGTAAAGTGGTCTTGTTCTTTCGATTAATAGTATTGTTTTGTCCAGTATATGAGCATGTCCTGCCACTTTTGATCTTCTACTTTTTTCTCTTTACCTTTTCTTCTTGCTCTTTTGCTCACTCCTTCCATCCTTCTTCCCCCTGGTCTCTTCATTATGTATTCACCCCCCCACCCTACTTCTGTATCTCCCTCTCTGTTTCTCCTGTCCTCTCTCCCTCCTCTTCTACCTATCTCTCTCTCTCTCCTCTCTCTCTCTCTCTCTCTCTCTCTCTCTCTCTCTCTCCTCTCTCTCTCTCTCTCTCTCTCTCTCTCTCTCTCTCTCTTTCCTCTCTCTTCTCTCTCTTCCTCTATCCCCTCTCTCTCAACCCCCCCTTTCTTTCTCTCTTTCGCTCTCTTTCTACCTCTATCCCTACCTGTTTCTTTCTCTTTCCTCTCTACTCCTAACTGTCTTTCTCTTTCCCATCCCTCTCTACTCCCGTCTCTTTCTCTTCCCTTTCTCTACCCCTAACTGCCTCTTTCTTTCTCTCTCTCCCCCCCCTCTACCCTTACATGTCTCTTTCTCTTTCTCTCCCCTCTCTCTACCCCTTATTGTCTCTCTCTCTCCCCTCTACCCCTTCCTCTCTCTTTCTCTCTCTCTCTCTCTCCCCCCCCGTACCCTTACATGTCTCTCCTTCTCTCTCTCCCCTCTCTTTATCCTTTCCTCTATCTCTATCTCTATCCCCTCTCTCTCTCTCCCCCCCTTCCTCTATCTCCTTCTATCACCCCTTACCTCTCTCTCGTCTCTCTCTCTCTCTCTCTCTCTCTCCTGTTTAAACCCGGGACAGTTTGCAAATGGCTCTCGCAGGTGGCGGCCGTGTGGCTTTAATCGTGCATGTGTGCGGGGGAAGGAGGGGGCGGAGGAAGGGGGGGCAGGTGGCACGGACGCAGACTCTACCCCCCCCCCACCCCGTATCTCCCTCCTCACCCATCTCTCCCTCGCTCTCACCCCTCTTGCATGCAGATCCCGGTCCGGTCCTGGCTCAAATTGATGAGGTAGATTTATGACGGCTACTGGCCACAACAAATTAAGTTGACAGTGATGTATTGGGGGGGCTTGTGTCACGCTATGGACCGCACACACACACACACACAACACATACACACTCACACACATACGAATGCCCCCAAACCCGATGGCCCCATACTCCCAGTCCCTCTTGTTAGGCGTCCCTGTCAGCGCCCCCTCTAGCATACCTGCATAATGAAATTCCTGAAACTGATTTGTGTTTTTTTTTTCTTCCTCTCATCTCTCTCTCTCTCTTCTCGTCTTTCGCTCTCGTCCACTACGTCCCTCCATCCCCAGACTCATCCGGCCGCCAGCAAACTACCCCTGAAGGACAGCTTCACATTTGATGACTACAGGTCAGTGTGCGCACGTGAAAAAGCGCGCGTGAAAGAGTGTGCGTATGAAGAGTGTGTGTGTGCATCTCCTTGCCCTGTTTTCAGATTGGTCTTTGCTCACACGCCTCGGCTCCACTCCTAAAAAAAGAGCTATAGGGAAATGCTGATTCTTCTGCAGCTACAACCCACTTTTCAGCCAATTTGTTGCAGTTAAAGGTGCACTGTGTAACTTTTCTGCTTGTCTCTATGGAGATGTCCTTGCTTTGCCTGGAATTTTCCACTATTCTATGGCCAAAACTACAGGTCAGATTTTTGGAAAGACTCACTCACAGTAAGAATGTACCACCATATATACCACCTACTTTATACATGCAAGATATACTGTATAGTAGGGTTGGGCAGTATCCAAATTTTGATACTGTTAAACCTTCTCAGGATTTTACCAGGATATACAGTATTTTGGTTTTATCAAAATGTTTTAGTACAACTTTGGTAAGCTACGAAGCAACACTGCTATATAGTCTAAGCGTATGACCTGCAGACTTATAATCTCTGTAAAGTTTCACATGAACCATCTCCAACACGATAGAAGCACAGAACAGACTCACCATCAGCAGAACATCCCTCTGTCACAGAGAGTACACACATATTCCACTGAGTCGTGTCCGTTTGTCCAACAGAATCTGATTGCATCAGCACACAAGGAATGAGCTGTTTTTATCAGCGCTTTATAGTTTATGCAAATGAGCCATGTGGTTTTAATTTTTTTTTTCTGTAAAATGTAAACAAATCAGCGCCTGAAGCCAAAATGCTGCCACATTGCAGAAGTACTAGTATTTTTTTAGGGGCCAACTCGCTTGCAGCCTGACTTGCCATCTTGTCTTGGTCTCCCTCATGAGTTATCAAGTGACAACGGAACAAAACTAATCAAACGTCATCTCCCCACGCAGTTAAAAGAAACATTATACTTACTATTAGTTTTAAATCGTGTTAGCATTAAATTGAAAACACAGCCACACATTAATTTGTGCTGAGCAATCAAATTAGACCTGTTAGGAAACTAATACCATTGCTACTTTTTGATACTGTTGGGATACCATAATACAGTATTACCGCCCAACCCTACTGTATAGTGTGGAACATTTCCGGAAAAGCACTAACATCACCATGGAGACAAGCAGGTGGTAGACAGATTACCAGCTAAAGTGACATACTGGACTTTTTTAAAGTTCTCAAAAGTGTAGCTTATTGTTGGCTCAGTATACTGCATCAATAGGTATGAATTCAAAAAGCAAGCCAGCCATCCTCAACCAAGGGTGCATTGTTGTGTCATTTGGCAAGACACTCAACCGTGCACCATTCATAACAACTGTATCCATCCAATTTAATCTAATCCAACTATTTTATAAACAACCCACACCCCATATATCTTTGTCTATCCACATTCTGGCCCAAGGAATGTATAAAGAAGTAGACTAAGGGAGTGTGACATCACCCATGGTTTTCAGCTCCAGTCAAATGAAGCTCACCGAGACTTGCAGTTATGGGGTGAATTTGGAGCTGAGTTCCATATTAGTAATTGATTTATGGACAAAATATCGAAATAAAAACACCAGGATCATGTAGAGCAGGTTAATACGAACATAAGGCCAAAATGATGAGGCTCAGAGCAGCAGTTGTAAAGAGAGGTTAAAGTTGATGGAGCCAAAAGTGCACCCATGCTCACTTCTTATTGGGAACTTGGTGACTAGTGTGTTAGCTATGTCCATTTGTATAAATAATCTATAGTTTGGAAGGAAGAATAAGCATTTCAGCTAGGAGCAAATCATTGAAATTACAGATTTCTCTGCAACAATCTGGATCTCTAATATGATTTTTCCCACATGTTTACATCATTAAATTTTAAGTACCCTCAAAATTCACACACACAAATTGAACAGGCTGCACCCAGGCCTGTTAGCGAGTGTACAGTACTTTCTCCAGTAGCAGCATAATAATATTTTAATTAGTTTGAACAAAAGATGGAGAAACATTCTTTTTACAGCCCTCTCAATTTCACAGTTGTGGTAATATTAGTGGACTGTGGTTGACCATTTTAATTACATGTTGATTCGTTCCATATGTTTTATTACCGCTGTACAATGGCCCATGTTTATACTTGGCTTTGCTGTTCTCTGTATTTTCTCACTATCATTTCTCCTTTCATTTGGTTCTGATGCAATCCTCAGCTCTGTTTGGCAATTGTCCTCTGTCTCCCCATCAGAGTGTGTGATGAGCTCTTATGAAACATGATGTGAATGCTCAACCTGACTAAACACTGCCATTCACCAATATTTGCAAATAGGAACAAAAAAGCCTGAAAAACTGTCCTTAATGTCATCTGTATTTGACCCATCCTTCAATAGGAGATATGTCGAGGCTTGGTTAATGACTTTGTGGTCATTATAGATTTGCTTTTTATTTGATTTGTTGAGGTGGGATGTGTCTTTTGTAGTGACTGATTGGTTATATATATTTGTTCAGATGGGCGGTGTCTTCAGTGATGACTCGTCAGAACCAGATTCCCACTGAGGACGGCAGCAGAGTCACTCTGGCTCTTATCCCACTGTGGGACATGTGCAACCACACCAACGGACTGGTATGTTTAATGGGACATACACGTTAAATACACAAATCAATACTACAGTCAAACTTCAGTTTTGCTCCAGGTTTGGTGTATACAATAAATACACAGTAAACAAAGGCTTAGTTCCTTTATAAACCAATAATTGTTTCATTATTGTGTAACTAATATTTAGCCTTTTTTTCCAAATGTGTAACTCTACAGATCACCACAGGCTACAATCTGGAGGACGATCGCTGTGAGTGTGTGGCTCTGCGTGACTACAAAGAGAATGAACAGGTGAGAGAAACAGGGCTATAAAGTTTGGTTTATAAACACACATACACACATACAGTAAAGTCTAATGCTTGACATTGTATTGAGTATAATATTACTTTACCATAGACTGTATAAAGAGGTGGACTAAGCCAGTGTGACACTTTAGCTATGTCCATTTATGTATACAGTTTATGGAGTCTAGTGAAAATAAGCACTGTTGTAAACTGTTGTCGTTTCTCAACCAAGACCCAACCAACATTTAGAGATGGTTTTGGGAGTATTGCACTTGTGGCATTCATATTTGTGAAACTGCATTTCTTTCAGTGACAGTAGTAAACAGCTTTTTTTTCCAATTTAAAGCCAAAAAACAGGTTTGCATCTCCACAAACCTCACTCTTATTTAATCTGGATTCTCCTGCTTGTTTCCATGGGAATGTTGTTCCTTTGCCATAATATTCCACAGCATTGCACAAAACATTCCTAGATCCATGAAGAATATTCCAAAGTATGGTGTTAACTTTCCATTTCCTTTGAATCATGCAGGTGACATGACATCTTGAGAAAGTTGCACACTGTATTTTTAATGAGCATAAATGACATAGTGCTGGCATCCTGTTGTCATAGCGACCCTGTGCTGACTGTGGTTTCTCTTCCTCAGATCTACATCTTTTACGGCACCAGGTCCAATGCCGAGTTCGTCATCCACAACGGCTTCTTCTTCCAGGACAACGCCCACGACCGAGTGAAGATCAAACTTGGCGTCAGTAAAAGCGAGCGGCTCTACGCCATGAAGGCCGAGGTGCTGGCCCGCGCAGGCATCCCCGCGTGAGTCTCCAGCATGAATGAGATGTGTTCACGCATATGCAAGGAACGCAACTCTGTTTGGGGGCATCCATGGGGGTTAAAATGATGAAAAATTAGACCTGTCACCATTATGGACGAACAATTTTAAAACGATAAAATGTTATATTTTTTTAATGAGAAAAAATCGAAATGTTGTATCTATAACAAATTATTTAATATTATTTATTAAAATTACATGACCCCTAGATTTTTTTATATTTTTTTTTCAATTCAATGAAGATTCAGTCAATGGGTGTACTATGTAACCTTTCTGTTGAAGTTTCCACGACCTTCTAGTCTCCATGGTGATGTCATTACTGTGTCTGGAATGTGCCACAGTATGAGACTCTAATTTCTACATCATCTTTATTGTTCCAAAATATGGCATTTGGTTTTAATTAGTTTTTTTTAATTTCCATGAATGGGGTCACCACTCCACAGATTTGACTTGGTCATGTGGTATCTCCTGCTTACTTGAAGTTTAATGCCGTACTGTGGAACATTACAGAACAATAAAATATCCTTTGGGACACCAGCAAGTTACATAGTACATCTTCTATTATAAGCGAGTTAAACAAAAACAACTTACTTAGCTTTCTGAAGCCAACATTTCACTATCATCCAGATCGCTCCTTCAGGGCGTGTACAGGTGAATTTAAATTAATTTGTTTGGAGGATAAGGCCCTTGAGATGTCTCGCCATAACATTTTCTAGGGGGTCCTCATTGTCACAACAAAAGATGACTGCACTCTCACTCCCACCATCTTCAAATGTGTGGTGCCCAACTTTTCTTTTGAGCATTAAGCATAGTACAGGACCTCTAAATGTACAATAAGAACCAAAATCCTTAAACCTTGCAGTTCTGTTGAAACATGATCAAGAACTGTCAACGTTAATTTATAGTTAGAAGCTGAAAGTGACTGTAGCCTTGTATTAGAACTTAAGTTTGAGTCTAGGACAGCTCCAGGCCTCCCCTAACTCCCTAACCTTTTACATCGCCTCTCTTTAGTCTTCCCTCTGTAGATGTTTCAACCAATTAGTCGCCCCTTCGGCATAATTGAATCACATAATATAAATGTTGCAGTAGCTCACTTTCTTTTTATTTTTCCGCCTCCCACAACAGCAAGTTTCAATTTAACATCCGCCCCAGCCCTTACATCACCGAGAAGCTAATCACTTTATCATTAGCCTGTTAATTTTATGCGGCGTTCTGTGCTCGGCATTTTAAATTAGCAGTCTTTTAATCTCTTATTGATGACAGCCTGAGTCTCAACAGTGAAATGAAATGAAACAAGCCCTATTGTATCTGCAGAGATGTATTACAGTGGCACGTCCCTCGTAGATCATTTTCAAAGGAAATATCCACTGATCCTCTGTTAGGGCTCTGGGAGGAGATCCCAAAGTCTGCTGTTTCTCAAACTGTTTTTGCCACGACAAAATCATCTGATACTGGAGCAGAGCTGTGAGCGGGTTTGAGTTATACTTCTGTAAATTGATGGTTTCTATAACAAAGTTTGCAAAGAGATAAGGCTAGGGTGTTATAGCAAAAATGTATGCAAATTTTTTCTCATTTTTGTATTTCCATTTAATTTTTGTTTATAAAATCTAAACTATAGATTTCATTCATAATTTTATAAACGTAATCTAATCAATTTTTTAGTTAGTGCCAGTTAACACAATAAAATCTTTTTAATTTATTCCTTTAAAGTTCAAAGTGCTTCATACAGCATACATGCTTTCATGAGTTTTGGCTGTAAGACTGTCACTCAAAAAGCTCCGTTCATATCACTGACAATTTGAAAAGACTGAATCTCAGCTTCATTACATTTTCAGTTGTACAGCCCCACTATTTTACCGTAATGGGGACATTTCATTTTTTTCTGACAGAGGTTTGGCTGTAAGACAATTGTTAATCATTAAGGATGGGCATGATTAGTCGATTAATCGATAATTGATCATTAAGAATTTCATCGATTACGCTCATTTTTAACCGACACACCGAATGTAGGTTGCTGTTTGTAACGTAGGGTGACCAAACATCCGCTTTTCCCTGGACATGTCCTTTTTTTTTTTTTTTTTTTTTTTTTTTTTTTAATAAAGTGATGCAAATGTCCATTTTTTTCATTACTTTTCATTGTGCCATTAAACTGAGTGGCTCTCGTAGCTCTGTGCACTCAGAAGGAGAGAGCAGACACAAACAGTCAGTCAGCCAGCAACATGCCAAAAGGCAAATGTGCATTTAATGATGACTTGTACAAGAAATTCCACGCGTTCCATCTCGGTCGAGACAAGTGGGAGGCCATGTGCACAGTGTACAAAGCAGCACATATGTTTTGGTGTCCAGTGGGGGTGTCAGGGACCTCAAAGTTCACCAGGACACTGAAAAACATAAAAACATAAAAAAAATTAGCTCAATGTCGATGAAGAGGCCCCATCTCCCACCCCCGTACGGTGTCCTGGTTTTGACAAAAGCAAATATGGTCACACTAACCTGTATTCTACTGAGTCGTGTCCTTTAATTTGACAGAACTTGAACCGCACCAGCGCACAAGAGCTGTTTTTTTTTCGCTTATTTTATGCAAATTAGCGATGCGGTTTTAAGTTTCGTTTCTGTGAGACTTGCACAAAGCTGCCTTAAACATTATAATCTCAAATGGGCTGAAGTGGCTCTAGAGTGGTTACGGTTTATATGTCGTAAAGTTGAATTTATTTATGCAGATTAGTAGTAAAAGCCTTACTTACTTACCTAATATAAAAATGATTAATTAATGATTAATCAATAATTGTTTGTTAATTCTCCCCACGATTGATTAAGAAAATTTTATCAAATGCCCATCCCTATTAATCACTGACAATTGTAAATATTTGAATCTCTATTTGTTCAAATTCAGTCCACAGCCTATTAAGAGAAAAAGAGAAACTTTGTCCCATAATGGAGACGTTTCAGTGCTGCAACAGTAAACTACAAGAATAGGCGCTGTACAGTGAATTGCATTAAACAAATATTGTGCAAGATTATTGATGAGAACTAGTGTGGAGGCTGACAGCACTCTGATTGGATTAGAGCTTAACAGTCCTGCCCACTTTGAATCCCACTGGAGCTAGAAGCAAATTTCCTACTCATTTTTCCCTTTTAGAATTTAAAGGCACGAAGGATGTGGTGACTAATGTCCATAACACAGTTGTTTTGAGTCCCAGAAACACATTTAAAACTTGAGTTATTAAAACATTTCACTGAATTTTATCAGTTAATAGAATTTCAGTGGTACAGTTTAAATAAAATTATAGGTCTTGTGGTCATTAGTTTCCACACAGCCGATTTGCCCTGAGCAAGCTTTTATATTTTAATAGTTTTTTTCCTGGAAGTGTATGGGAAATTCACTTCCAGGAGTTAAGTGGTGACAGCCGCTGTTGAGCTTCATTGCTTTTATGATTCTCCAACAAAATATCTTTTAAAAATTGTAATATAATTAAATTGTAACTCCCCACACAGTCATTAAACCTGTGCAGTAGTTTTTGGGCACATGTTGTGAAAAGAAGAGTGAACCTCTCGTGCGGTTCCTCAGTCGCCGTGCCGTGGACAGAGGCCTAATATAATAAGAAGCAGGGGATTGTGGGTAATGCGTTTGTGTGCTGTAATAATGTCGACCCTGTGCTCCTGCAGCCACATCGATCACTTTGCTGAAACAGGGGGAAAAGATTGTTGTCTCCACAATTACCCCTCCCTGTGATATTAGGTATTATATGAAGCGTGTTGGATTCTGCTGATCCTGGACGGCGTTCGGACATGGTTTCTGGGCCTCTGCTGAGTTTGGGAACAAAAAAACATCCAGGATTTAATCTATACTTGCTTCAGTGGCCACAGCGCTGTGTAAACCTGTTAGTGGACAGTCTGATTTGGTTACTTGCCCTCAGGGATACAATCTCCTCAATAAGAAATATTATAAGTACTAAAAAGTATTACAGAACTAGAGCCGTGGACTCTCTGTTCTTTTGAGTTCATGATGGAGGTATCAGTGTCCCGTAGTAAAACTTTCACTGCGTAACTTTTCTGGTGGAGGGTCTGTTACTTGCTTTTCTCTATGAAGATTTAGCTTGGAATATTCCACTGTATGGAATTAAACAAATTTTTCTTGCAGTTGGTCAATTACAGGTGCTTCTATTGCCTTGAAAAAACATACATTATTACTGAGAACTGACTTGCCTCTCCACAGATCTGACTTGTACTGACTCATACTGTGAAACATATAAAGTAGAGCGTGAATATCTGCATGGAGACGAGCAGATGGCACACCCACACCAAAAAAGTTACTTATTGCACTTTTAATACTCAGATATTACTCTAGATCCTGCACTACCATAAATATTCCAAGAGGCCATGTTCATTTAACTTATTATTAATCTGTTGCTCGTTGTGTTTCAGGTCCTGTGTCTTTGCTCTTCATTGTAATGAGCCTCCGATCTCTGCTCAGCTCCTCGCCTTCCTCAGAGTCTTCTGCATGACGGAGGGTAAGACTCTAAACACGACTATAAGTCGCTCCGGAGTATAAGTCGCACCAGCCAAAAAATATGCAATGAAGAAGAAAAAAAACATATATAAGCAATATAAGTCACACTTTGTGGGGAAATGTATTTTGTAAAAAGACAAGTTCTAGTAATAACAACAGAATATGTTAACTGTTAATATGTTACCTGTTAATATATTAACGTAACATATTAACAATTATTCAGATAATTATAGCATAAACAACATAACATAAATGTACCAAACTCACAATCTCACTCCAAATGACTAAATCCATTGATTATCCTCGGTGTGACTTCTGCACGACCTCCGGAGATAAACCATAGGGCCATGAGGTAAACGAAGCGCCACTTCCTCTTCTGAGTAGCTGTCATCAGACTCAGCATCAGTTCCAGTTAGAATTATTCCAGCCTTTCTGAATCTCGTCAGGATGGTTTCAATTGTCACTGAAGTCCAGGCTTTGTCGATTCATCCAATGACTTTAAGGAAAGTTACATCGTGCACCCGCCTGGTTGCCATGAAGCTATGTTCTCCATCCCCACTTTCCATCAGTCCCTCACAAGTTTCTCGCTCACTCCAAAGTTTCTTTCAGCTGCTTGATTACCATTTTCAGCTAAATATTTCACTATTTTCAGGGAGACGGTGGCTATTTCTACAGGAGACATGCGCAGTAGAGTGCTAAGTGACAGTGGTACAGGAGTAACAGGATTAGCAGATACTGACACACAAGCCTAGAGTCTCTCGTGGCTGTCGGTCTGAAAAGTTTAATATATATGACACACCGGAGTGTAAGTCGCAGGACCACCCAAACCATGAAAAAAAGTGCGACTTATAGTCTGAAAAATACGGTACTTAACAAACAACCAAACCATTTTTCTAGACAAAAAGAATCATCTGTAGAGGCACTAGTCCCATAACCACACAGTGTGTGAGTTTTTGTTTTTGGCACAAGTGAAGATTGAAGCCTGTTGAGCTGTCTTACTGTGTGCATGTGCAGGGGTCTAGCACTTAAGTCTGGGCCCTGGGTACAAATCCTCTTGGTGGGGCCGCACTACACGTTGTCTAATGAAAAATGCACATTACAGACTTTGTGATGGGCCGCTTTAAACAGTACCCTTTACCCCCCCTATTTCTACACCCCTGTGCACGTGTCTAAATTGAAAAGAGAAGCAGGAAAAGGTTTCTCAAATATTCTAGATTAAATTATAAAGGAAAGGCCATCATTATTACAATATTGTTAAAATGTTAAAAACTGTAAAGCTTGAGTATTTCCACAAAGGCATTACCCACTGCTTTGCTTCCCAGACTGAAGGGACACACAGAGGAAGGGCCTGTCCGTTGCCTTCTTAATTGATCAAGGCAGGCCAGCAGATGTGTCACAGGCGCTCTCCACCAGGGGGGGTTTGGGGTTTGCAATATTCATCGGCGTATATGCAGAACGCGCTCATAAATCCACACACAAGGCCGCATCCTCCTCTGTCACCACACTCCTCTGCAGGACCATACTTGATATATTATTCACATTTTTTGCTGCATGTTAATTTTTAAAAGGGCCCGTGGATCCGTGTATGTGTGTGCGTGGACTATCATGGCGGCGGCGGGCGCGCGCGTGTGTGTGTTGACGGTTCGGAGCAGATGTGACATGATGGAAGAGCGTGTGCACACAAGCGCGGAGTGGGAGTCGGATCTTTCATCCTCGCTGTGTAACTAAGCCATGTTTAACTCGTCACATCAAAGAGCCAGGAGAAAGGTCTCAGGAGCGGGAGGAACTGGCTAAGGCTGTCTACACATGTGGGGAAATCATTTGAGAGGGTGTCTTCAGCTCAAATTTGGTTAGATTCTGGAACTATGTCCTGAGAAGTGATAACAAAACTGACCTCAACTATAAAAGTCTCATATATGCATGTATAAGGATGGAAAATGATCTGTACCTATGTTTATATTTGGATACATTTGTTGATCCGCAAGGGAAATTATTCATAAATAATTGCAACTTTCCTGGTGGAGGGTCTGTCACCTGCTTGTCTCCATGGAGATGTCATTGCTCTGCCTAGAATGTTTTCGCAGTATGACATTCAAGGTTCCCATGGTCATGGAAATCCTGGAAAAGTCATGGAAATTGAAAATGTCATTTTCCAGGCCAGTAAAAATCATGGAATTTTGTAAATTCAATGAAAGTTTTTTTTAAAAGTCATGGAATTTTAGTATCTTTTTCACGCAACTCCAGCGTTCTGTTAAGATCTCATTAGACTTTTATGATTATTTCTGAACGTCTGTGCCTTTTGTTTAAAATAGACAACAATAAATGCACTGACAGCATTTTAAATGTTAAAAAACTATAATCCCAAACCATAAGGTGAGTGGAAAGGGTTAACATTTCATATTTAGCCCTAAAAATATGCTCTATTCTACACATGTAGGTGCCAGAAAGTCATGGGAAATTCACTTTAGGTCATGAAAAAGTCTTAGAAAAGTTTTTCTGTGTTACATTTTTTCAATTACAAGTTGTTTTAATGCTCAGAAATACCTAGAAAAACAGCTATTCTGGCTGTGAGTGGGGTTGCCTCTCCACAGATCTGACCTGTAAATAGGTCTGGTTTGGACTTCATGAAGATAGAAAGTTTTAATGCCATATTGTGAAACATTCCAGACAAAGCAATAACATCGCCATAAAACAAGCAGGTGATGGACCAGAAAAAGTTGTCAAAGCACCTTTAATCAACCACATTTAATTATTATTAAGGACCACAGCCTTAAGGAGTGAGTTTTGGGAGACAGTATAATCTGCCTTTATACTTGGTGAAGATGCTGTTTTATATACTTTTTTTGTATGTAGAAGTTTTCGTACAAGATCCTACCGAAGTTGAGAGCTTTTGCCAGACTTTTACTAAAACTGTCTTTAGTCGACCAAGATTTTTATTTGACAACAGCCCTATTATTCAATTTTTTCAATTTTGCATACACTTTTTACAACATAAACAATCTTAAAAACATGAATAGTAGTTAATAAAAATAAGTCCAGGCTGTAGTATTCTTTGGTTAAGTTAAGTTGTGTCATGTGTTGTGTTTCACAGAGGAGCTGAAGGACTACCTGTTGGGAGAAGGAGCCATCAATAAGATCTTCACTCTGGGGAACAGTGAGTTTCCCGTGAGCTGGGACAACGAGATCAAACTCTGGACTTTCCTCGAGACCAGAGCTGCGCTGCTGCTCAAGACCTACAAGACCACCATCGAGGTAGGGCATCCGGGTTAAAGTTTAGGCATCAGGCTGTAACAAACCAGGCTATTTCTGGACTAGTTTGCATTAGTATTTAGAACTTAGGGCTGTCCTCACACTTGCAGCTGCACCACATCAAAGTTGGGACTGTCTTAACTGAGACTAAGCCTGGACTAGACCATGACTGAACCAGGACTAGATCAAGTCTGCATCAGGACTAAACAAGGGACAGGACCAAACCAGGGGAAGTGCCACAATAATGTCATCATTTATTCACTCCATACTTAGGTTTTAAAAGGCCCATATCACGCAATTTTCTGATCTACACTACCGGTCAAAAGTTTTAGAACACCACACTTTTTCGTTTTTTTTTTTTACCCTTTACTGTTTACTGTTGACCAAAACGTATTCTAACGTATTCTTTTGATTCATGAAAGTGTCCACTAGCTGAAGTGAATGGGTCTTGAACTATATACCGTATTTTCTGTACTATAAGTAGCACCAGTGAAAAAATGCCTATTGAAGAAGAAAAAAACATATATAAGTTGCACTTTTTGGGGGAAATTTATTTTATAAAATCAGAGACCAGGAATCAACATTTCATCTTGAAAGGCAAGTTCTAGTAATAACAATAGAATAAAGAACAACAGGCTGAATAGGCGTTAATTTGTTAATGTAACATATTAACAATTATTCAGATAACTATAGCATAAACAACATAACATAAGTTTACCAAACTCTCCATCTCACTCCAAATCACTAAATCTATTGAATCCATTGAATTCTTCATCCTCGGTGTCACTTCTGAGCAACTTCGCGCAACTTCTGTTGTCACTGAAGTCCAGGCTTTGTCATCCAGTGACTTCAAGGAAAGTTTCATGGTGCATCCTCCTTGTTGTTGTGAAGTTGTGTTCTCCATTCCTGCCTTTCTCCAGTCCCTCACAAGTTTCCTGCTCACTCCAAACTTTCTTTGTGCTGCTCGATTACCGTTTTCGGCTGAATATTTTACTACTTGCAGAGTGCCCTCTCATAGCTGTCAGTCTGAAAATATAATATACAAGCCACACCGGAGTATAAGTCGCAGGACCACCCAAACTATGAAAAAAGTGCGACTTATTACCGTATTTGTAGGACTATAACTTTTTCTCCCATTGTACTTGGGGTAGTTTATGTTTATGTCACAGGCTGTTACATTGTGTGTTACATTTTGCGTAGCTCATTTTGTACACTGTATTAGGTGATGTAGACAATAGTAAATGTACTATAAAAGACAAACAGCTCTATAACTCATATATTTTCTCTCAGGAGGACCGCTCTTTGCTGGAGAAACCCGACCTGACCCTTCACTCCCGCGTGGCCATCCAGCTGCGTCTGGCCGAGAAGCAGATCCTGGAGAAGGTTTCAGCGAGCGGACGAGACAAACGCATGCAGTACGAGAAGAAACAGGCAGAAGGCGCTCCGCTGCCCCGCTACGAGGAGAGCGACATAGCTTTACTGGAGAACTCTGACGCCGAGGGGAAACTACCCATCATTTTACGCAAGCTGGAGGAAGTCGAGGAGGAGGACAATCAAATAATGAACGGAGATAAGAGCGGAGAGGCGGTGGAAGTTAGCAAAGATGTGAATTCAAATCTGGACTCGGAGGAGAAGTCTATTGAATCTTTAAAGGGCCAGAAAGAGGAGGCTAACCTAAGTGCCAGTCGGACTGAAGAGTGAAGAGATACTCAGCATTTTTGCCCACTCCCGATTTATTTATTTATTTTTGTGTCAACTAAAAATGACTCAGAAATACTAGAAATTTTAATTAAGAATTCGCCGAACATAGACTGACTAAGTTGATTCAGCGTGGCTTTACTTAGTTTTCAGCTTGTTCAAATGTTGCCGTCTGTTCTTCGACGCAGAGCATTTATCGGTTATAAAGAATTGTAATTAAATGCTAAATAAATAAAATCTTTTGTTGAGATCTACGGCGTAAGAAATAAAGAGGGACTGGCTAGAGTTAAAGGCGCATTTAGTAACTTTTTTAGTGGAGGGTCCATCAGATGCTTTTCTCCATGGAGATGTTATTGCTTTGTCTGGAATATTTCACAGTATGGCATTACATTTTTCTGTCTTCATGGAGATTTCACCAAACCAGACCAAGTTACAGGTCAGATCTGTGGAGAGGCGACCCCGCTCACAGTCAGAATGCCTGTATTTGTAAGTACTTTTGAGCTATAAAACCACATGTAATTGAATAAATGTAAAGTAGATGTGTTTAATGTCATACTGTGGAACTTTCCAGGCGGAGCAAAGACATATCCATAGAAACGAGAAGGCGACGGAACCCAAACCAAAAAGCTACATAGTGCATCTTTTAAATAGGCTGCGTTCACGAGACATCACGTTATTTTCAGAAGTTCATAGTTTCAAATTGAGGTGGAAGTTAGTGATTCCTACGGTAGAATTTGCTGTTAAAGATTTCAAATACAGATGTTTTGACCTGGTTTATGGTTCATATCTCTGTAATAGATGCCTCAAGAATTTCGGACTTCCAGTCATCGAGCAATGCATACTGGGAAGGATTTTCCGAAAAAGTGAGCATCAAAACGCCGTGTTTGTTTTCCCAGTGGGATGCGTCTATTGACAAAGCCAATCTTTTCTAATATTTTGAATCATATCGCTTTTGTTTCTGGTTCTGATGTCGTCATATTTTAGTTTTGGGATTTGGACATCATAATTGTGTGGTTGTGTTTGTTTGCGAACTCCATAACTGCAAAAGGGAATCAGATCTGTGTGACTGCAAACCTCCGTTCAAACTGTTTCCCTTCCCAGCCGAATTGAAAATTAGTGAAAGGTGAAGGCGATGGGCAGGATTGATCCACAGGAAGGACCAAAAAGGAAACCTTTGACTGCCTAAATCATCCCGAGTTTGCAGTGAACATTTTGTATTTAGAGCGTCTTCAAAGAAAAGCCCTGATCCCTCGCTCAACCTTGATGACGAATTTAAAAAGTCAGTGCCAAAGCGAAAGGCACCAAGAAACACCTTCCACTGCAAAGCGACCAAGACGTGATGTTGCTGTAAAACCACAAGAACAAGAAAGTGCGAGCTCAGTCTGTTTGTCTTCTGTACTTCTCGCTTAACAAACGGGATCCAGCTTTAATGGCTCCACATACAAAATGCTCACTGCAAACTCAGGATGATTTCGTCCTTCCTGTGTATCAATCCTGCCCGTCGCCTTTGCCTTTCACTATTTTTCAATTCCGATGGGAAGGGAAACAGTTTGAAAAGCGGTTTGCAGTCACACAGATCTAATTGCATTTTGCATTTATGGAGTTCGCAAACAAATTTCTTGAGCCGTTTTCCGCTGTTAGGATCCAACAACCACACAATTATGATGTCCAAATCCCAAAACTAAAATATGACAATATCAGAACCAGAAACAAAAGTGATAGGGTTCAAAACACTAGAAAAGATCGGCTTTGTCAATAGACGCATCCCACTGGGAAAACAAACATGGTAGTTTCATGCTCACTTTTTTGGAAAATCCAAAGTATGTATTGTGCAATGACCGGAAGTTCGAAATTCTTGATGCATGTATTACTGGGCCTATGCACTTGAAACTAAAACTGGTGCAAAGTTTCAACATCTCCCCTGTTATAAAAATAAAGAAATCAGTTATGGGTTATTAATATTTGATTATATACAGACAACAATTTCATTACGTGGATATATTTATTTTTTTGGTGGAGATGTTATTGCGTTGCCTTCATGTTCCGCAGTACGGCATTAACCGTCAACTTCCAAGTAAGACACACACCAAGCCAAGTTACAGGTCAGATCTGTTCTTTTAGCAATAATAATGTGTAACTGAATAAATGCAAGATGGACAACGCCGTACTGGCTGATCTCCACCAGAAAAGTTACGCAGTGCACCTTTAAGCCACATGATAATACAGTGAGTTTTAGGATCTAGTTTCTAACAAAAACAAGGTCGAACTTTTGTGGATTTTCTGTTTTGATATTTCTTTGTAAAACATTGAATTGATGTCCGAATAGCCCTTAGAGTGAAATTGGACGCTTCCCTTCTTCTGAGACTGTAAACTCAGCCTAAAAAAGGCAAAAATGGACTAATCCAAAAACATGAATTTTGTCTTCTTTTGTACATGAACTCCTTCTGTTCTTTTTAAAGACGATGCAGTAGTTAGATTTACCTTGTTGACGTGTTTCAGTGACAGTTCGCCTTGTGTATTGTCTTTACAAAGAACCCAAGAAGTTCAAAATAATGACTTTTATTTTCCACAAAGCCAAACTTGTGGATGTTGTGAATGGTTGGTTTATTACAGCAGTTTGTCTCCATCTGTGTCCGGCTGGTTTTGAGTTGACAATCATCTTCTTTGCTGCTAGTAGTAGACCACCACTGACCGCTTTTCAGTTCCTCAAAATCATTTCAGAATATAAAACAAAAAACGACATTTAAAGAGCCCTTATTACGCTATTTTCTGATCTGTGTTATAATGTTGTTTCCTCATCAAAAACAGATCTGGAGTTGTGTTTTGTTACATTCACACACGTTTAACACAAAAAAATCCTGAATATTTTGGCTGTGTTCTTCTCTCAAATGGAAAACGCGCTGTTCCACCTTGTGATGTCATGTCGTAATACAAGAAGTGGGTTTTAAAACTCCATGCACCTTCACGAGAATCATTTGGATAATTTCAGTGCTGTAATCGCCAATCTTTAATGAAATAAAAGTAAAATGTAGCTGTTAACTTGAAAACTACCACTTCATGACATCACAAGGTGGAACAGACCATTTTGAGCTTTGGAAATGTAGACAGAAATAATAAAGGGTTACTTAAACATGTGAATAAAACAAAACGCAACATTATAACATGGCTTAGAGCTTACAAGAGTCAATTTTGCGTAATATACATTTTACATTTTTTTTTTTTTTTTACATTTATCATTCATTCTGTTATGAAGAAGTCTATTGAAATGAATTTGAATGTACTTATAGTGAAATCTTTGGATGACACTTAAAGGGGTTGAGGCCCTATGATAAAAGCCATACACGTTATTTGAGTACCAGAGATATGGAAGTTAATATGGAAGTTATATATTATTTTGTCATAAATGGAGCCAGTTTAAAAGTTTGTGTGAGAAATGAGAAAAGCACTGTCTTGTTCATTTTGTTTTTTGTCGATTTTTGGAGTTGTTTTGACCCCAATTACTGACCCTCTGCACTGATGAAAAAAAGTACCGTATGTTAAAACAGTTTTCAACTTAAAAATAAAGCAAAAAAGTATTCTCTCTAATACTTATTCAGATTTTTTGGAAGTTACTTGACGATTTGATACCTCACACTGAATTGTGGTAAATACTGCAATTAATATGAATTTTGAGATGAATAAATGTATAACCTCTAACCAGAAGATGGCCAGTTCAAACCTGTTCAGACTGGATAGTTGCTGTAGTACTAAAATTTCAAGAAAAAGGCCAAGAAAAAGGCTCGGTACTCAATAAAAGTTTGGTACCACAATAAAAAAAACACAACTTCTTTAGACAATAGAATGTATTTTCAATCCAAAAAATAAAAAATTTTTACTTTCTTTATAATTACAGCTGTGGTCTTTTATAAGTTCTAAAGAAAATGAGTCTAGACCTTCTAAAGCTTCTAAAACTTATTTGCTCAAATTCCTGGTTTTGAGACAAGTTTTAGTATCGATTCTGAGTATCAGTGTTTCTTAAAACCCCAGTTCTGACACTTCACCCCCTTTGCTCATTTTGGCTGGTTGTGGTAGGATTGGCATCTGATATAAAACGTGCTAAATCACTTCTTGAATTTGGAATTGAGAATTCAAATAGACACTTCTTATTGATAATCTCACCATAATTTTATCTCAAATTGATGGAACAGCTTATTTTTTGCTGGAGATTCTAGTTAATGCAATTTCTTTAGACGATACAAGCCATTTTCAACCCAAAAAATAACAGTACTTTCTTTATAATTACCTTGTTCAAAAGATTACTCTAGACCTTCCCAAACTGGCATGTTCAAATTTGTCTATGTAGCCTATCGGTACTTACTCAAATTACTAGACCAGTTTTAATATCAATTCTGGATATTGTTCTTTCCTAAAACAACAGACAATAGAATGTATTTTCAAACCAAAAAATAATGGTGTTTCCTTTATAATTACCTTTGTGGTCTTTTACAAGTTCTAATTAAAATGACTCTAGACCTTCTAAAGCTTCTGAAACTTACTTACTCAAATTCTAGTTTTGAGACTAGTTTAAGTATCGATTCTGAGTATCAGTGTTTCTTAAAACCTTAGTTCAGACACTTCACCCACTTTGCTCATTTTGACTGGTTTTGGAAGGGCATTTGGATGTTAAAATATACCAAATCATTATGTAATTCTTTCTCCAACTCGTTTTGAATTTGGAATTGAGAATTGAAATTACTCTGTCCTTATAATCTCACCATAATTTGATCTCAGTAAGTCTGTTTTCCCCTCTCAAATTGATGGAACAGCTCATTTTTTGTTAGAAATTCTAGTTAATAATGCAGTTTCTTTAGATAATAGAATCGATTTTCAACCCAAAAAATAACAGTACTTAATTATATTAAAATTATAGTATAATTACCGTATCTTTGTGGTCTTTTACTTGTTCAGAAGATCATTCTAGTCTAGACTTTCCCAAACTGGCATGTTCAAATTATCTAGTTTTGTGACTAGTTTTAATATCAATTCTGGATATTGTTCATTTCTAAAACCCTAGTTCAGACACTTGACCCATTTTGATCATTTTGGCTGGTTGTGGAAGAACATCTGATGTAAAAAAAATATACCAAATCATTATGTAACTGGTTCAACAACTGGTTTTGAATTTGGGATTGAGAACTGAAATTCTTGAATCTTACCATGATTTGATCTCAGTTTTACTCTCTCAAGTTGATGGAACAGGTCTTTTTTGCTGGAGATTCTAGTTAATAATGACGTACATGTTGTTTTGACAATGGTTAAAGTAAATGTATTCTGATCACTGATTAAATTTGAGTTTGTTTACAACTAACGTGCCATTTCTTTTACTTTTGTGATCACTTTTTTCATCACAGATCTGTATTTTTATGCAACAGGACTTCTACCGATCTACTGCTTTTGTCATTCTGTATCCTAATATACAGTAGGTTTACAGTTGATACTTTGCAGTGACATCGCGCTGGGGGTGTTCTACATGTACTGGCTCTGTGGTGGAATGTTCAGCAGTTACCATGGTGATACAGTGCACACATTAGCGCAAACAGAGCCAAAAAGTTTTAACAAAGACGCAAAAGTGGCATCGCGTCTTCACTTTTTATTCCGCATTTAGACGAGCGTTTTCGGGAGGAAATCTGCGTGTATATGGTGACGCAAAAGTGTGTGGAGTTGGATGGGGTATGCATGCCGGGCGACTAGGTGGTGATGTATGTGACCTAAACGTGTATGCAACGTGAGCAGATCTGACCAGAGTTTTTAAGCCCCAAAAACGCCGTCACCATCTAAACGAAAGGCACTTCCGATAAAATATTTTTGTCGTTTTTACCCGCAAATGTTCTCGTAAACAGGCCCTAAGTCTACCAAGCCTCATACAGAGCAGTGCCTACTGTTAGCATCACACCCAGATAGTGTTGATGATGTCGCCTGCGAAGTATCAATAACCTAAAGTCAACCAATTGCAGTAGGAGTATGAAATTAACTACTGGAATCTTCCGTGCAAAGTCAATACATGTACTGAAGCTGAGATTAAAAGTCCCGTCTCATTTCTACTCCTCTGTGTGCTGTTTCTTCTTGTCTTTGAATCAAAAATCATTTCTTTCCGACTTGCGAAGGTCACCACGAGTAATAATCTGTAGCTCAAAATGCTCTGTCCCACCTTGTGATGTCATGAATCTGTAGTTTTCATGTTAACAGCTCCTTTTTATCTTTAGTTCAGTAAAGATTGGCAATACCAGGGATGAAATGACCAAAATTACACTAGTAAATCTGTATGGAGTTTAAAAACACAGTGGAGCACTTCCTGTATAACATGACATCAGAGTATTTTCCATTTGAGAGAAGATCTCAGCCTAAATATGCAGGGTTTGTGTATTAAAGATGTACTGTGTAACTTTTCAGGAAGAGGGTCTGCCAGTCACTCGGCTCCATGGAGATGTTATTGCTTTGCCTCCAATATTCAAAGTATGGCATTAAACTCTTCAATCTCAATAGAAACAAGCAGGAGACGTCACCAGGCCAATGTACGGGTGAGATCTGTGAAGCGGCGACCCCACTCACAGTCAGAATACATGATTTTAAAGGGTATTTTTGAGAAATAAAAACACCAATAATTGAATAAATACATCTTATATAAGTTTAAATATTGTGGAACATTACAGGCAAAGCAATAGATGCATCAAGAATCTCGGACTTCCGGTCATCGCACAATTCATACTGGGAAGGATTTTCCTAAAAAGTGAGCATCAAACCGCCATGTTTATTTTCCCAGTGGGATGAGTTTATTGACAAAGCCAGTATTTTCTAGTCTTTTGAACCATATCACTTTTGTTTCTGGTTCTGATATTGTCATATTTTAGTTTTGGGATTCGGACATCGTTAATTGTGTGGTTGTTGGATCCTCACAGCGGAAAACAGCTCGAGATATTTGTTTGTGAACTGCAAAAGGGAATCAGATCTGTGTAACTGCAAACCTCTGTTCAACCTGTTTCCCTTCCCAACGGAATAGAAAAATAGTGAAATGCGAAGGCGATGGGCAGGATTGATCCACGGGAAGGATGAAAAAGGAAAACTTTGGCTGACTAAGAAATCATCCAGGGTTTGCAGCAAACATTTTGTATGTGGAGCGACAACAAAGCAAAATCCCGATCCCTCCCTCAACCTTGGTTACGAATTTAAAAAGTCAACACCAAAGCCAAAGGCACCAACTGTTCACCAAGAAACACCTTCCACTGCAAAGTGACCAAGATGTGATGTTGCTGTAAAACCACAAGAACAAGAAAGTGCGAGTTCAGTCTGTTTGTCTTCTGCTCTTCTCACTTAACAAATGGGATTCAGCTTTGAAGACGCTCCAAAATGTTCGCTGCAAACTCGAGATGATTTCTTAGGCAGTCAAAGGTTTCCTTTTTCGTACTTTCTGAGTATCAATCCTGCCCATCGCCTTCAGCTTTCACTATGTTTCTATTCTGTTGGAAGGAAACAGTTTGAACAGAGGTTTGCAGTCACACACATCTGATTCCCTTTTGCATTTATGGAGTTCACAAACACATTTTTCGAGCTATTTTCCAGTGTTAGGATCCAACAACCACATTACGATGTCCGAATCCCAAAACAAAAATATGACAATATCAGAATCAGTAACAAAAGCGATATGATTCAAAAGACTTGAAAAGACTGGAATCCCAATAGAAGCATCCCACTGAGAAAGCAGTTTGATGCTCACTTTTTCAGAACATCCTTCCCAGCATGCACTGCGCAATGACCAGAAGTCCAAAATTCATGACGCATCTATTGAATAAATGCATCTTAAGCTTAATATCATATTGTGGAACATTACAGACAAAGCAGTAGCAAACAGAAAAAGTTACACAGTGCACCTTTAAACATGTGAAAGAAGCAAAACACAATCTGCTCCATACAGTCCCGTCTCGCTTCTCCTCCTCTGTGTGCTGTTTTTTTCCTTATCTTTGAATCAAAACATCTTTTCTTGCCGACTAGTGAGGGTCACCACGCGTATTATTTTGCCTTTCTCTTCTTTTGTTGAGCGAAAATGGCTTATTTAATGTATTTCCCCTCTTCCATGCCCCCTGGCCCTATTACGAATTTATAAAAGAAACATTATCTTGAATCATTTAATTCGGGCCAATTAAATTTTGAAGTATCTGGTACATTATTCATGGTTGCCTGAGATAAAGCGGTTTTAATCCTTGAATATATTATTATAATGGGCATTTGGATGGGCAGCGGAGAGCGGGGCATGTCCAGTATTGTTAGATCTCCCTGTGTCAGTGCTGGGAGCAGACTGGGGCCCTGTAAATCCTAACATATGAATTATAGACTGATTTCTATATTAGCACGGAGCTCAGAAGTGGTCCAAGTCACAGCGGGACGGGAGAGTGTTTACTGGTGTCATGCCAGAGATGCACAAAAGGTAAAAGACGGGTCAACACACGGACTTATAGTGGCAGGACAATGGAAGAAACGTTAACCCTAAATGCGCCTCTACATTTCATAGTTGCAATCGGCTGCTTTTCCTAAAATGTCCCACAGTATGGCATTCATGGACTTACAGTGTGAGGAGGGTGCAATGGCAATTCTTCAGAAATGTTCTAAATGTGTCTTTAAATACAATAGTTGTGGTTTCAGGACACCCATATGGAAAAGATATAGACAAATCATGCACCATTTATCATGTTTTATCTGAATCCTTAAAGATTTGTATATGACAGTGAAAACACTTACAAGATCTTTGGTAAATATGTGTAGCATGAAACATATAAAACTTCGGAACCTGCAAGGGCTGAATATGACACTAATCCCACATACAATGTCCTCACAAGTGTTGGACAAAGGTCATTTTTACCACAGAATCAGAGAAAAACAAGTGAAATGATGATTGGTTCCTTAAACTCTTGATTGCTGTGCTGTGTGTGTGTGAGAGTGAGAAAGAAAATTATCTGTGTGTGTGTAGGTGGGTGTGTGTGTGCGTGTGTGTAGGTGTGTGTGTGCGTGCGTACAGGTGTGTGTGTGTGTGTGTGTGTGTGTGTGTGCGTGCTGTGTGTGTGTGTGTGTGTGTGTGTGTGTGTGTGTGTGTGTGTGTGTGTGTGTGTGTGTGTGTGTGTGTGTGTGTGTGTGTGTGTGTGTGTGTGTGTGTGTGTGTGTGTGTGTGGTGTGTGTGTGTGTGTGTGTGTGTGTGTGAGTGTGTGTGTGTGTGTGT